CATTTTTCCATACTATACGATTGTTTGACCAGTCGTCCCTGGTGGGTATCTCCACAAGATATGACTTGTGTGAATCGACTCTCGGGGGCATGGTGTCAGTAGGCATCCCCAGAATTGGTATGTTGCATATTGAGTCCTTCAGGCACCTCAAATTACCTGACAGCCATGTCTTCGCCTCCATGCTGGTAATCCTGTACATACTAGCCCTCGCCACCATTTCAATATGTAGATGTAGGGGCGGTAGGTTTAGCAGAGCCTCAAGGGCAGCAGTCGGGGTGAAAGACATAGCTCCTGTTACTATAAGACAAGCAGTCCTTTGCAGAATGTTAAGTCTTGATATGATAGTACTCTGTGTCGTTTTTCTACTCCAAACCACCGAGGCGTAAGACACCATCGGCCTTATGATGGCTGTGTAGAGCCAGAGGGCTATATTGGGTTTCAAGCCCCATCTATTTCCCGCTAGCCGACAACATATCATCAGAGCTGTTTTAGACTTCTGTATAATTCCGTCTATATGTGCGTTCCAGGTAAGTTTCTGGTCCAGTGTTACCCCCAAAAACTTGACCTCTGTCGAGAACGGAATGAGCCTCCCATTCATGGTCGGAGGCGAAAGCTTATCCAGTTTTCGTTTCCTTGTGAATGGGACGACCACGGTTTTGCCTGCATTAATCGACAGATTATTGTCTTTACACCATGAGTTAATTGTGTTCAGCGCCCTCTGCATAAGGTACGATAGCATACTTTGGCAGTTTCCTCTCACTATCACCACCAGGTCATCGGCATAGCCCAGGGTGTCAAAGCGGAGTTCAGCCATCTTATGGAGGAGCTGGTCCACCGCAAGAGTCCACAGTAGCGGAGAAAGTACTCCACCTTGCGGACATCCTCTTGTTGTTGCTAACTCTAGTGAATCGTTGAGTAGTTCCATCCTCACTGTCCTACTCTCTAGCATGGCTCTTATCCATCTTACTGTAGTGGAGTCAATCTCTTTATGGACTAATCCTCTTACTAATGTCTCGGTGGGCGTGTTATCGAACGCTCCTTCCACATCAAGAAAAGCAACGAGTGCTATTTCTTTATCGTCCAGTGCCTTTTCAACCTTGTCTATAAGGTTTAGTAGGGCAGTCTCCGTAGATCTGCCGCTTCGGTAGGCGTGCTGGGTATCATGTATGGGTTTATTGATGAGACTCCCTTGTCTGATATAATTGTCTAATACCTTCTCCATGGTCTTCAGAAGAAATGACGTAAGGCTGATTGGCCTGAAGGACTTTGGTGATGTATAGTCCTTCTTTCCAGCTTTAGGTATGAACACGACTTTCACCTTAGTCCACGGATCTGGAATATATCCCCAGGCCAAACTGGCTCTGAAGATTTTTACCAGATAAGGGATGAGATTGGTGGCACCCCGCTGTAAAAGCACCGGGGCTACGCCGTCAATTCCACCAGATTTAAAAGGTTTGAACGAGTTAATGGCCCATTTCACTATTCCAGGCCTAATAACGAGAGCGGCTCTTCTCCAGTCCTCTGGTAGAGGCCTTCGAAGAGTGATCGCTACTGCATTATCAGTAGATCCTGGAAAATGGGTGATAGCCATTAGCTGCAAGGTTTCCTTCTCGTTAGTCGTGAAGGACCCGTTCGGTCTTTTAAGGAGACCTAAGGGATTACAGTGTGCCTTTGCCATGATCTTATGAAGTCTTGCTCCTTGAGGCGTATTAGTTATCTCCTCGCAGAACTTCCTCCATGATGCACGCTTGGCTTTTCTAATTTGTTTACTGTATTCGTTTAGGGCCATCCTGTAGGCATCCCATTCATGGGTGATTTTGGCCCTATTGAATAACTTTCGAGTTTTCTCCCTAAGCTTTTTCAGCTTTGAGTTCCACCACGGTATTTTCCGTTTGGATGATTTGATTTTGGGTGTACAGCTAGCCTCGAAGGCATTTTTAATGCCATTAGAGACCGCCTCTACCGCAAATTCAATGCTCTCAACCGTTCTAATGCATTCAGGAATTACTTCTAAGTTCCGTACAAGGCGTTTGTTGTATTCATCCCAATCGGTGCGCTTAGGATCCCTAAATGCACTAGTATGTGTACTTAGTTCCGATGTTAGTTCTAAGCATATATGCCTATGGTCCGACACTGAGTTTTCGTTACTAACTCTCCAGTTTTCTACATGCCTGGCCAGGTTGTTAGTGGCGAAAGAAATATCTAGCACTTCTTGTCTCGTCCTAGTTACAAAAGTTGGTTCACAGCCATTGTTTAAAGTTTGAAGACAATTGGTTACTAGGTAATTGTTTAATAACTCACCTCTGTCATTAATATTAGTACTTCCCCAGTCGGTGTGGTGGGCGTTCGCATCGCACCCCACAAGCAGCTCAGCACGATGTCTCCGGGCGTAGTCGACCACGGGTGTGAGCTCAGCAGTTGGGTCAGCTTTATCTCCGGGCAGGTAGGCCGAGCACACGAGCACTCTGGGCCCGTGCCATCCCTTGAGATTGACAAATGCTGCTACAAGGTCATCTGTGCACAACTCTGTAACAGGCAAATAGTTAGTGTTTTTGCTGAAAACAATACACGCCCTGGGTTTCAAGCCATCAATGTTATAAAGCACCTTACCAGCGGCTTTGAGTCCCAGTATGGTTGAGTTATGCACCCAGGGTTCTTGAATCAGGGCAAGGTCGACCTTTCGTTCTGCAAAGCACTGTTCCACTACTGCGGATGCAGCAGCGGCGTGTTGGAGGTTTGCTTGCAGAATCCTTGCCCGAGCCCCCTGGTTGGCCATTTTTATTTCCCCCGTTTGGCAGCTTTCGCGGCCCCCCGTGATCCTCCCGCTAGAGGCGTTGGTCGCGCTTTAGCGTTCGGGTTTTGGGGTTTTGCCACTCCAGCTGCACACTTACCCTTCCCTCGCCGGCCCCCGCCCACGACCGCCGGCGCTCTTCCACCCCGAGATTGTGAGCTCTGGGGTTTCTGTGTGCCGCTGGTCGACGGCGTTGGTTCGGCGGCAGGAGGAGGTTCGGAGGAAGACTGTAGATGCTGAGGGGCCTGATGGTCGCCCTTGATCTTGAAGTAAACCCTCTTAAATCCGAGGGTCACCCAGTAATCCTTCTCTTTGAGGGCTTCAACGGAAGGTTCGTCGATGGAGAAGGTGACAAGCCTTCCTCCTTCTCGTTTAGGACCCTCCAGAGTCCAGGATTAATGCCTTTATTTTGTACCCTCAACAGGGCTAATGCTTCAGTAACTGAGGCAGCCTCCGTCTTGGGTACAAAAGTCGTTGCCGTAGACGGCCTTGGAAGCTCGCTTTCCGACATAGTGGTCAACTGAGCTTCAGGCCATGGCTTCATTTTTGGTATTACAGCCACAAGCCAGTCATGGCTATGCTGGTTCGCGCAGGTAACCAGTATCCATCCTGTCCTGTGACTGAAACCGACAAATTCAGGTCCATCGCCTTCCGCGTCCATTTTTGTTAGGGCCACGATGAGGTGACGATGTACGAGCGCCATCTGGGCTTCCGTCATGGGTTCCGAATTCCGGATCCCCACTCTGGAGGTCTCCGCCATCTCCCTATAGCTAAGGGGCTTTGGGCCGCCTGTGGCTGTAGGGCTTAACTTGGCGACTTTACTGATGTGCGCCTTAGGAGAGTCTTCCTCTGATCTGTCCCTCTTGAGGGTCTTCACAGAGGTCGGCTTCGGTATCGGAATGTCTTTCCATGGCTTGCGGCATAACACAAGGGCTTGCTCTGTGGCTACCCCTGCTTCTGCCACTAGCTTCCGGAGACGCTTCCGTGCTGCTCCAGACAGTCGCTTACGCTGACTGCCTTGGCTCGTATCCTCTATTTCGGATGGGGCGTCGGGCGATCCAGAGTTGCCTTCTTCGACCACGACTTCCATCTCCGTTGTAGGGGATAGACTGATGGGCGTTCCAGAGTCCTTTGCAGTCCTCTTCGCCTCATCACGGTTCATTCCGTCCTGGATGGATTCCAGAACGGAAGACATAGGGTTTAGGCTAATTGTTTTTTTTGATCCTTCTCCATATTGTACCCACGAGTAGCTAGGGAAATAAAAGGTCACGAACGACAGAGCCCCGCATGTCGCCCGAAGGGTTATTTACTACTCCGATTCACCCTGGTTTCGGAGAGACACCGTTCAAGACTGATACCCTCAGCCATTCATCCCTCGGCACGGTACGATTGACACCTTGGATTGGGGTTTTTGGAGTCGAGGTTGTCTCCTCCAGGAAAGATTTGTGATAGGATAGAAGGAAAGGTTAGGAGGGGAATGGGAGGGATGGGATTGTTGGAAATTTTGACGGGATTGAGGATTCAGGACTGCCTGCAAGGTGGGACTGCCATTGCAGGCATCGTCCCCATACTTGGCTGCTTTGGGGTCCGGGGTAGATGGTAAGTATGCGGCGCCCGTTGCGATCCCAAAGCATTTCCAGGGTGTACGACGCGGACGTGTATGATGGACTTGAGGGAAGAGTCTATAGCTCAGCGCCGCATACCAGAGCGTACTCAACCCCCCAACACCCCTGATCTACCATCAGATCTCTAATAAATTTACCCAAACACTAGAGACCTTGATCTCAATCTTTCTTATTGTAAATAAACTATGTTTTTATATGCCGTCTTTTCTACTTTATTATCTAATAAGTATAAACATGTCATCATGGTGATTTGAATCAATATCTTTAACTTTTTCTATAAGTGAATGGCTGTATTATCCTTTCGAACTTCAAGAGGCATAAATCAATTTTATCGTTAATACCGGTTTTTATTCAGATATTACACCGCATCTCTAAACTTCCTGTCCTTTTCTAAATCTCACTAATAAATGAGATAGCTATTTTTTCTATAATATTTAGAGCATTATTACTCGACGAAGTTAAATAGAAGGTTCATAGTTCTCGTTCGGTTTCTCTCATACATACTGAAAATATGAAACCATTCCTAAAAAATTAGTAATGTTAATACTATTGTCTTTCATTCGTTCTTTACGTGATCGTATTTTATTACAACAACAAAACAAAATGTCAGAGAAACCTGTCGTATGCAAGTGAAGTCTTATTTTTGTAAATAAGCTAATAAGAAACCAATAAATAAATCAAGAGATGTATTCTACAAATGATTAATGTGTATTTGTTGCAATATGAGTTCTGGAATGTGATAAATAAAGTAATTTAATAGTGACAGAAATTGAATAAACAAAACGGCAATTTGAAATAAATTCTAATAAGATGCGGTGCTGTGTCCCAGGATGCAAAAGTGACTCAAGGTACAGCTCGAAGTCACAAGGAATCACATTTCATATGTAAGTAAACTGTTCAAATTGACATAACCTTCAAAGATTATCCCATCAAAACAAATATGTTTCTATTTGTTTGCTTTCTTTTCCTGCCCTTGTACTCGCAAACAAGCGGAATCAAACTGAGCAAATAATAAACACAACATTACAACCTGAAACTTGATGCTGGTATTTGCATCTTTAAGAATATATTGATATTCTATTTTCTTTTTTAATTTCAATTAAAATGCGAAATATGTTTTACTTTCAGACTTTTCACAAATTTTCTTGTTATTAATAGATAAAGAACTAATGTCTGTATTTTTTTTATTTAAGGTCAGTAGTTTCAGAGATCTTTATCTCATAAATCCCATTTGGCACCTTATTTCATTTATAACTTTTAATTTATATAACTGATAGTATTGATACATATTTACTTTTTGTCCTTTTATTTGCCACATTAATCAATGTAGTCCTACATATGTTTTATTATAATAATATACAGTTTTTCGAATACTTGAGTTTTAAAGAAGCAATATGTCAGCTTTAGAACAAATGCGTAAAACCATAGGGTATGCTGTTTTTTTTATAAAGGTTTAGACTCTAAAGAAGTATTAGTTTGTAAAATATCAAGGCTTGAAACCTATTAATTTTTTAGATACAACGTTTCATTAATATGTACTTGATCTTGTTTTAAAACAGTTGTCATTGAGAGCAATGGAATTAACCCTTAAACAGCCAACACAAAAAATAGAAAATATGTTGCATATTCTTAAGTGCTTGTGGTAATAAACTATTATCTATAATGATTATTATGCAATAACGTTTTGCTAAAGTTACTCTGTAACTGCAAAAGCAGATAGAACTCACATAAATTTCCTGGCTCCAAACAATAAATTATCAAATTTTTCTTAAATGTTCTAGGTTTCCCAGTGAACCATCTTTGAGAAAGACATGGTTTCAAGTTCTTGGTAAAAAGGAGTCATGGAAACCAAAAGAAAGAGCCGCTGTATGTTCAGCACATTTCCTTTGTGACGATCTCTATCATACCAAGAGTGGTCTACGGAAAGTCAGGGCCGGTGCTGTGCCTTTTATAGTACAGGTATTTGGTGTTTCTTTGATTTACTTACTAGCTCTTTTTTTCGATTTAAGCAACTGTCGCAAGGGTCAGTCACAGAATGGATGGTACCAAAAATTTTTTTTCTCTTCTCCATGCTTTGGAAGGTACATTAAGTGCTGGCTGAAGAATGCTTTAAATAAAAACTTTATCCCTGACACTCCTGAATGAATTTTTCAAGCGTTTCTTTTTTTTACTATAGAGCGTATTCTCATCAATGTTCAGGCAATCCACCCAACAGCCGACCGGATAAATAAATAAGCATTTACCATTTATAATATTTTTTAATATAGCATTGTTAATTAATAAATTAAATATACAAAACTTTTTACACTGTTTGATCTCTAAGATGTCTGCTGATGATTAATAGTTAACTGCAGCATGAGTTAAGCCGACTCCTTTTGGGGACCACCAGTACATTCTGTGTTGTATTAAGGATTACTTATATCAACCATGTAGGATTCAATAAACGAGCTCCGTAGCCAAGTTGTTCACATGGATTCATGTCATCTATGGAGTTCAATTTCCAGTTGGTTCAATGTAGAAAATGTACTTTTCTTATATTGTCTCGGAATTTGGATGTGTTGGTTCTTCTGTTGTCTCAGATACCCCATAATAAGAGGGGTTTTGATACTCGGTATAATTTATTTTATTTTATTCTCTTATATAATCTGAGCAATATATGTTATTGTTACATTTGATTACTTTTGCATACACAATGAAATATTCTTAAAAAAATCACTTTGTCCCTGGCATTCTGAGGTGGAACTCGAACCTTGACCTTTCGCAATCCGAGCGACTGCTCTAACAACTAAACTACCCAGCGCCTAACAGAGCCTAACCTATATCTATTTCTTTTTAATGAAGAATAATATTTACTTTAAAATATTATTACATTCAACTACTTATGTTACTTGCAGGATTCAAGCAGTAAGGATAGTCTAGAGGAGCAGTCTCTGATGGTAACATTTCATACTACATATTTTAGTTGAAATAGTAGTAGCTCGGTGGCGTAGTGGATAAGCACCGCGGCCCGCGATCGTTGTCGTTAAGCAACTTTCGCAAGGGTCGGTCACGGGATGGGTGACCGAAAAATTATTATCTCGAGCTACTCCGTGCTTCGGAAGGCACGTTAAGCCGTTGGTCCCGGCTGCATTTGCAGTCGTAAATACCCTCCAATCCGCATTGGGCCAGCGTGGAGGGCCTGTCCTCCTTAACCATCCATAATGAAGGCCTGAGCCCCTGCAGTGGGGACGTGAAAAGACTAAAAAATAGGTAGATTGTTGAAAAATATTAATCACGTACTTTTTTTTATTTTGTTTTTATAATTTTTAAATTACGGCGACACCTCGGGTTAAAATGTCACAAGACGTCACGCTTTGGTACATTTTCTATAAAAACTGTGACGTATCGAGCTGTTATCTAAGCTTTATCTATATTTTTGTATGCTACCCTCAACTCCCAGGACTGTCCCGAGATTCCAAGCTTGTCTTTGCCCAGTACCAGAACCCCGGGATAACTAACGTGACCCGGATCTACGATGTTTGCCGACGGGGGTAGAAAGTTGATATTGCAACCCCGAGCTCTGAAGTTTTTGTTTACCGTATTATATTAATGATTGTGCCCCCCCCCCCCCCCCTGGCCAATGCTTGAATCCACGGCGGTTCATAACCTTTGTTAACTGGTAAATTTCAAAGCGCTTGTACACAATACACTGAATAAAAAAACTTATTTTTATTAAATACAATAATTATGTGTATTTAAGCCGCTGGTCCCGGCTGCATTTGCAGTTGTTAATACCCTCCAATCCGCATTGGGCCCGCGTGGAGGGTCATGGCCCATCCTCCTTAACCATCCATAAGAAAGGCCTGAGCCCCTGCAGTGGGGACGTAAAATGGCTGATGATGATGATGATGATGATGAAGAAGAATCAAAATCATAAAATTTATCTTGAAATATTTTTTTTTTAATTATTTTATAATTTTATTTTTAATTAGTACTTTACTTTATAATTTTAAATGCAGATTTTTATTTTCCTTAATTAGGTATGCAGAATATGCTTGGTTATGGACACCAAGCTGTTCTCTATCAGGAAGTACAAATTAGAAAAGGCCTATGAACAACTAACAGGAGTATCGGTAAGTGTTGTCATGCGTCATGCTCACGAACCGTTTATAGAATTTTTATTATGCACGTTTCATAATAATTATAATCATTATGTATGTATATAAACTAGCTTTTGCCGGCGACTTCGTCCGCGTGGTAAAGTTACTTTGAGCAGCATTTAAAGAATATTTATGTACTGATAGGTTCAAACTAATACATTTACATCCTCTATCATCCCTTATTACATCCTCCATCATGTCTTATTTTATCCTCAAGGGGGTTGAATTTATCAAAATCCTATTTAAGCGGACGTCTTCATCATAGTAGCTCCAATCTTTAATTTCAGTTCAATCAGTCGAAAACCTAAGAAGATTTATACAAACTTTCATCCTCTACTTTATCCCCTTAGGGGTGGAATTTATCAAAATCCTTTCTTAGGGGATGCCTACGTCATAGTAGCTTTATGCATGCAAAGTCTCAGCTCGATCTATTTAAAATTGACAAAGTTTCATACAAACTTTCGTCCCCTATTTTATTCCCTTGGGGATAGAATTGATCAAAATCCTTTCTTGGCGGATGCCTACGTCTTAGCATCTACCTGCATGCCAAATTTCGGCCCGATCCGTCCAGTGGTTTGGGCTGTGCGTTGATAGATCACTATGTCAGTCAGTCACCTATGAGTTATATATATTTAGATGAATTATTTTTGTTATTACAAGAGATAACTTAACCTGGCTGTAAAAAGCAGCCTTTGCTGGGTTTCTTGCCGGTTCTTCTCAGTACAAGGTCCAGCGGTAGATTTGCGAATTCAATTGTTTATTTCTTTTGTTATTTGAATTAATGGCGTAGTTTAAGCCTTTCAGAAGTTCTTACTGTAATTGAATTTATTTCAAGACTGTTAATTTGCTTTTGGTTGATACTCGCTCGCCATGTTCGTGAATGAATGATTGAATGAACACTTAATTGTACGAAAAGGTTAACAGGTGACAGATCTCAGAGTCTAGTCGCGAATTGTATTGCGAATGTGTATTTCAATATGACTCATTAAAACGTTTTTGTATTACGTCGCTTTCTCTTTCTCTCTTCTGCTTTTGCCAATGCTAGTACCCGGCGCGAAAGTAAAACCTGCGTAAAAAACAAAAATAGAAGGTTAAGTGTGCGTGGGAATAACTTAACCGTATCAAAAGGACCTTGTGTCATCCCGCACTCGACGTTTCCCTACAAATTCCCGCCATTTGCAAATGCATTTTTTCATTGGTAAGTACGCTCAAGAAGAAAAGTGATACTCTCATTGTTATTTTTTTGCTTTAGTATTTTAAATCACACTTGTATTTAATATTTAATTAAACAACTCCATTAATAATATTCATAAATTATACATTTGTGTTTAATGCACACTCCTATTATTCTATTTTACTCCATTTATTACTTACATTTTAGTGAGCTTGTAATTAATCATGAAATTTATTATGTTAATGTTATTGTACAGTTTGTAATGCTGTACAGACGGTGTTAGTTGGGTATTTGTAATTACTGAAGTAGTATTATTTATATAGTAGTTGTGGAGTGCAGAAAGATGAAATCTTGAGATCATTTAACACCAATTATACACGCACACAGTTAAGTGAGTTAAGGTGGTTGTTACTGGACGTTAGTTATACACGGTTGCTAAATTCGCACTCATTTTATTAATATAATAATTCAATAGCGTAAAGTGAATGATGACCTCGATAATTATGTACGGTTATTATTGAGTAAAAGATCTTATAAATGGGTATTTTTAGTATTTTAATATATTTTTTTTTTGTTTTACTTTACTAATAATATTCATTATTAGTGCTATTAATAAACAAGCTTTAGCGTCAGAGTAAAATTAAGTATCAGTCCAAATTCATGTTTTACGGAGAATAAGCAAACTTATTATTTTGTAGAAGTAAACATTACTCCCGTAGAGCCTCGTACTAGTTAACCTTTGCCAAGTCTCTGTTTAATAATATGCATTTTGTCTAATACTAAGTGCAGTCTCAGCGTAAATTTACTCCGATGCCAAATTTGTTTATTAATAATACTGTAAATGGTAAGTGTTTTGAGTTTTTACTTTTCACCCCGATTATACTTGCGCAGTCGACGCCATATTGGATTTATATAAATATCTGGTACTGCCCTGGAATTCTGAAAAAATCCAAACCCGAATTCAAATTCGATTCGAAAGGGTTATATACTTCTTGTATTTGTTACAGGTATTTTCTGAAAACCGTTTACCTAATGAATTATGCGTGGAATGTGCCCAGAGATTGATAAACTGTAACCGATTTAGACAGAAAAGTTTGAGAGCCAACTCTCTTATGTTGGAGCTACTTAAGAAACATGATGAGGTAAGTACTTGATTATGTTGCCTATCTAGCATACATTGTACTTCGGTCAGCCTGCAAAGTCGATATGCTTGAGTATAGTCGAGCAAATCATCAAACTTTAAGGATTAAACTTTATGGCTGATGATATACGGCCAAATCAAGAGATAGTGGCATATTATGATATGCTCGGGCAGATCTCAACCGGACTAATTCAACAATTGGTCTACGACATATATATTTTAACAAGCTTTTGCCCGCGACTTCGTCCGCGTGGTAAAGTTACTTTGAGCAACATTTCTAACGAATATTTATTTATTCGTACCATTAGGTACTGATAGGTTCCAACTAATACATTTACATCCTCTATCACCCGTTATTTTATCCCCATGGGGGTCAATATCAACCTGCATGCCAAATTCCAGCCCGATCCGTCCAGTGGTTTGGGCTGTGCGTTGATAGATCACTATGTCAGTCGGTCACCTTTGAGTTATATATATTTAGATTTTATAACATTTAGAAAATTTCTATATCATCATCTAGTTAAATCTTATAATTAGTAAGATATAAGCTAGGTATGTTATTCGATGTTAATGTAATTTATTGATAAAATATTTATTTTAAAATCTATAGTACTGTTTCATTTTATCCATCAGAAACAAATAAAAAAAAAAACAATCTTTCCTTGTCAGTTATTAGTAAAGATATTGAAATGTGACGTCACAAAATGTACGACCCCCTAGTCACATGACATCACACTTCATTGATAGTAATTAACATAGATATAATTTACGGACAGTTCAAAATTATTTCTCCAACAGCTAACAAAACGCAACATACAATCAATAAGTCGAGAAAACAACCAATTAGCATCAAATTTAACGACAAAAACTTATGTAGACAGTTATGATATTTATATTGACGAAGTTGTTGAGAATGTACAAATAGCACCTGAAGAAGTTAAACCAGTGGATGAACCAGATTTAGATACTGCAGTGAAGATCGAAGAGAATAACGATGAAGAAGATGATGATGAAGGAAACGATGATATGCTATTCAATGAATACAATGAATTTGATATAAAAGATGATGATTATTCCACCGACGATAGTTTACCTTTACAAGAAACTAAGAAGAAATCTAAACAATATATTAGAAGTAAAAAGGTTAAAACTGATGGTGGAATAAAAGTTGATGGGAGGAAGAAGCCTTTCGTTGATGAGCATGCCAATAATATATTCACAATAACCGATTTGACTTTGGAAGAGCAGTTGGCTGATATAGAAAGTAGGAGGGAAAGTTCCAATTTTAAGAACGGTATATTCAAGTGTATGGAATGCTATAAAGGATTCTTAGATGAGGAAGCATATAATGCTCATATGCTTAGGCATACTACGGTAAGTTACATAAATATTAATAAAATATAATAGCGAGAGTATTTTAAAACTTTAACACGATCATATTAAACCAGTTCCAGTTTTATTTTTCTCCAAAAACTGTTATTAAATATAAAAAAAAAGTTTATTCGTCAATTAGAATAGTCACAGCAACAATCGGTCACGAGAGATTTCGAGCCGTGACGTCACATTTCAATATACTACTGGTTGCACTCGCAACAAAGATGGTTAGTTTATTGAAATTGGACGTCAGACGTTGTTCCGTCATGGCCGCCCGCGTTTCGATTCTTGTAATAGTAAATTAATATATGGATGGCCCCTTACGGTAGTGAAAAATAAGTTGCACTAAAACTAAAATTTACATCGTAATAAACATAGAGATTCTGATCTTGAGTATTAAAATCGAACGGTTATCTTATTGTCTTAAAATTAAAAATCGTGATATTTTGTCAATGTGTAACGTGACTTGAAACACGATCCACCATTGTGTGACGTCACTGTGGCAACAGCTGTCAGATAAGTCATAAAGATATGTCTATTAATTATAAATTAAATTCCTAGATGGCGCTGTTCTTAGCTTATATCTTTTTATTTCGTAATCGATCGTTAGATGGCATTGCTCTTGTTTTTTTTTATATCTTTTAATCGTGTACTGTATGCATCTGTTTTGTGTACATATCATAGTGACGTCATGAATATAACGGAGCGTTTTCACGGCTAAAAAAAATGTTTAATTTTGATTTAATTTTAAAATAAGAAAACGTGTTTATTTTTCCGAAATAATTGTTTTATGGCATTTTTAAATTAAAATAAACCGTTACAAGTACTATTTCAAACAGAGTATAATACCCTATTCAGAAATCAGTTGTTGGGATTTATAATGAAGACAGCTAATCGCCTTACCTATAGACAATAATAAATTATCGACATTTGTGTTGTCTTTTGTAGTTACTAAAAAATGAGGAAGTATTTAAAAAAATAACATTAGTTCCCGAAATCAAACTAGATGTCGCTACGGTACGTTCTTGATTTCTCCATGACAACCCTTCCGGTTTTCTTTCGTGTTTTAAAGTAAATTAGTTTTCAAAACTCAATAAACAACTCATATTCTATTTGTACTTTTTCGTATTTGTATTGATATCTAAGTTTCGAACTTTGCAAATTACAGTTTTTTAATGTGTTAGTTAAAAGGAACGGAAATGACTGTCTTTGGTCCATTCGTTTGTTGCAAAAATGAACTTTTACTAGTCGCTATCTAGTGGAGGTGCTTTTTTAGTGCTCTCGTTTTTTTTTTTTAATTACTCCTCATTTGCGGGACGGACCAGCTAATAATACATTATTATATTACTATACCAATATATTATGTGACTTTTTAAATATATTATTCCAACAGGCGTGCGGCGAATACGCATGTAGTATATGTAAAATACATTTCAAACATCCGCACGCGGCTAGGAAACACAAAACCGCCCATCACACTCAGAGATTCAGTTGTAACCAATGTTCTTACGTCACAATGCATCGACAATCTGCACGACTGCACATGAAATGGCATAAAGGAACCAAATATAAATGCCCTCACTGCAGTGAAGAGTTCTCGTGAGTATATATAGTATATCCAGCTGTCTGTACGCTAAGATCTTTTAAAAGTAAACAACGGATTATTATAATTGATCAATTTTGTATTAAAAAGTCCACTTTCCACTTCAACATTTTAAAACAATACTCAATCTCTTAGATAATAAGCTTTTTTGTAAACTATGTATCATATTGAGTGCAATAAAGTATTTTATTATTATTATTAAAACAATGACTTGAACCAGTGACACTAATGCGTTTATAGTTTACAGTTGAAGTTATGACGTCATCCAACCATAGCCAAATAATAACTCATTATTGTTTGCTTAACCGGTACTTTAACGTTTTTTATATTATTACAGTAAGTTATTGCGACTAATCCTTACTATTGTAACACTTGGTACTAGCAATAATACAAGAAGTATCTTGTATAGATAGTTTTTATAGTAACTATGTACATATCGCACTTTTTTAGTATCCAATTCTATCGATTAGCACTGGTATATCAATATTTTTTACCCCTTTCGTGTCTCAGCTAAGTCCCATTTGTATGCTGTGATTTTTAGTTAGATGGACTAAAGTAATATACAATTAACTTTTCTTTTCTTTCAATGTTACAACCGTTTCTTTTAATGTTGTAACATAGTTCTATGAAATGATTTTTTAAACCGTTCTGATGAAAGTATTTTTTTGTGTCTTCATTAGATTTATCTATTATCTTTCTAATGAAAATACTTTGAAATTAAACCTTTCTAAAATTACTAAAAGTATTTCAAACACACAAATTTCATTTTGCGTTTTTCTTATCATGAAAATTAAACTTATAAATTAACCGTTATAGTTTTCTAACTTTAGAGTAAACTAAAAGGTAATGATAATTATTATAATTACACAAGAATGGCAATTAAAAGGTAACTAAGAGCAAAAGCAAAAGAAAAATAACAAGAAAATTATGACAAATTAATTTATCTAAATGAATGGTGTCTTTCCAGTCAGTCCTTGTGAGAAATGTGATCGAATCATAATTAATGGATCACTTATCACCAGAAGTCGGAATTAGGTAGTTATTTATGTACTTGCATCGAAATGTTGATATTAATGTGGACCTTCCCGGGATTTCTTTATTTCTTACTTTCTTCTTTCTTTATTTCTTTCTTTCATCGATGTAAGTTTGGCAACGTCGTGCGTGCAGTAGTTTAAATTGTGTAAAAGTAAATAACTTTTTATTAAAAAAATCACGGGATTTTTTCTGCTCTTTAAAATTAATCTCGGGATTTGAGGCATATCCACTTATTCTTTCGCTGTATGAAATCAGTGTAATTACATGAATAACTCTACCTAATTCCGAACACTGCTTATTACTCGGACCACAACAATATTTGTGCCAACTCACTAAATATCAATTTAGTCCACCTAATTAAAAATCATACTATTGACTTGTATTATTAGTTGTAAAAAAAATAGATGAACTGTAATAGAATACGTTATATTACAGTAAATTCACCACGTATATGGGTCATGTCCGCATCAAACATCCGTCTGACTTCGTGTGCCTGTTGTGCGGTTATTCGTTCGTCAGCGAGAAGGGTATAAATCTACATAAGAAATTGAAACATCGATTGGACAACCAACCTGTGAGTATATGACATTATTAATACAGCTTGAAACCGATTAATATGCGTTCATTAACCGGTTGACTTGGATACTGGTTTCATTAGCAAATAACCATTACCGGTTATTGCAAAAACTATTTTTTTGTTAAAAGCTTTAAATGGTACAGTGCCGGTAGAATCATTGCAGTGCCGGAATTAACCGGTTTTCATTATTTCTCACCATGGTTTCATACCAGATTTGTAAGTAGCGGTATTTTCATTTATAATTCGCTTATTAATGTCCCCACTGCTGGCGCTCAGGCCGTCCGTATGGATGGAATTGAATTGAGCAGGGAGAATGGGCCATGACCATCCACGGGGGCCCAATGCGGATTGGTTGGTGATTCTACTGTTTTTTTTTTTCGTTATTATGTAATAAATAAGTAAAATCTATATACAACTAGCTGTTTTCCTGCGCTTTCACACGCGTAAATAATAGCCTATGTCAACCCCATATGATGTAGCGTTTTTTAATTTTTGAAATCTTTATAGTAGTTTCCGATCATATTCATGCAAGCAAACGAACAAAAAACAATAAAATCTTTCCTCTTTTTAATATAAATCTATAATACTTAAATAATTATATATTATAAGATTTGATGCCCCAAGGCTCAATATTGGGTCCACATATCCTTACATTAATAAATAATGTTTGTTTTGTTTTCACAAAAGCTTTTTTTAAATAGGATAGACCTGATCCTTAGCAGTGGGACAATAATGTCCGTTTTCCTTTAACTTAGGAGTCGCCCAAATCTGTAGTCCAAATCAACATTTAGGAACCACCAAACATTAATCAATGCCTAAACTAATATATGCCCTAATTGTCTAATTATCAATTGAATTGTGTTAGACAATCAATTAGAATTTTTCAATTTCGCACGCCGGTTACAAAGTGTCGTCATCTCTGAGGTCCCGGGTCCGATTCCCGGTCGGTTCAATGTAGAAAATTAAGTTTTCTATATTGTCTCAGGTCTGGGTGTTGTGTTACCTTCTTATATCAGATACTCCATAATACAGGGGCTCTAGCTACTCATCTTGGAATCTGAGCCATGCATGTGATGGTCTTTATTATTTACTTGTTTATTATTATTCACAAACTACACGCTACAACTACTTGACACGTTTAAAAACATTAGTTCCCGAAATCAATCTAGATGTCGCTACGGTACATTCTTGATTTCTCCTTGACAGCCCTTCCGGTTTTCTTTCAAGTTTAAAAGTAAATTATTTTTCAAAACTCAATAAACAACTCATATTCTATTTGTACTTTTTCGTATTTGTATTGATATCTAAGTTTCGTACTTTGCAAATTTCAGTTTTTTTTATATGTTAGTTAAAAGGAACGGAAATGACTGTCTTTGGTCCATTCGTTTTCTGCAAAAATCAACTTTTGCTAGAGTCGCCATCTAGTGGAGGTGCTTTTTAGTGCTTTCTTTTTTTTTAATATTTCCCTTTTTTTAATCAAAGTTATAGTTACAAATAACTTTGAAAGCTGTTGCGAAATTCAAATCATCATACGTTCCAAAAACGATTGTGACTTTAAAAGTTATACAATAATCGCTATCACAACCGCTATACGTTTGAAAGGGATTGCGATTTTAAAATTAGACAATTAGGCTACTGCTAAGGCGATTCGTAAGATAAGGCGTTTCCTAGTTAAGCTATGCCTTGTTCTAGGTTAGTGAAAACTGGTGTAAGTGCATTTATACTAATGTTATAAAGAAGAAAGATTTCATTGTTTGTTAAATCTTTAACTACTTTAAAAATTCTTTCAATTCTTGGAAGATACATCATACGTAATTTATATATACTATAATTTACCTATGCGAAGTCGCAGGAAAACAACTAGTTCTTTACAAGACTGTATCTTTTTTAGATACCAGAAGACGGTCCCATTTGTGAAATGTGTAATTTGCGTTTTCTCGACGCCGATGCTCTTAAGCGCCATCTATATGTGTCCGCGAGACACAAAAGCGTGGACGGTAAGAGAATGAATAACACGATCAAAAGAAGAACGCCGGAGATAAGGCAGTGGGAGAGGAAGAAGAGGGAGTTCGATAAAGTGGAAGGGCCAATACCTTGTGAGCAAGTTAGTTGAGTTATTGTATACTAGTCTCGTAAATAGTTCATCACCGGCCTATTACCTAATTTGTGTATCAGATTTATTTATGATTTGCGTAATGGGTCCTCCATTAATCACGCAAGGCTCGAGAGGGGGGAGGTTCGTAAAATAATCACGTAATATCACAATGGGGGAGAGGGGGGAGTGTAGTAATATATCACGTGTATTTATTTTCTCCTCAAACGCGCGATTACTAAATCTAAAAGCGGCGTCAATAATTAAGCTTTTTTTGTAGGTACTCAAAATACACGCGTTTTGGGTGGAGGGGGGGGGGGGGGGGTAATCTTAAAACTATCACCAAGGGGTAAAGGGGGTTAAAAGTGTTGGAAAAATATCACGTGATTAGTGGACGGCCTAACTATTTTACCCATTTTTTTTATAAGCCGTTACTGCTTTTAGGAAAAATCTTCACGAATACGTAGTGGTGTAACGGTGTGCCATGCCACCGTTTGTTTTCCTAGGTTTCAGTATGCAAACTTTTTGCTTTTGAAATTCAACATCATTTCATTTTATTACTCGTCTTTCGTAATTTAAAATTTTGACTAATCAATTATACTCTTTATGGATGTCAGTTCGTAAGAAATTCTCCTATGCACAAGATGAAATTATAATACAATACAATATTAATGGTATCATTTTTACTATGTAATTTTAAAATAATTCATTTATTGTGATAAATAATGTGATATGGTGATACAAATTATATAACATATGAACTAAATTGTAATCTGTATTTTGGAAGATCCAAAAGTTAACTAGAAGCCCGACAAGGGTTTTTCTTATTACCCTTATTTCACTAATAAATATATACTCAAGCTAAGCAGCCTTATTAATTGACCCAAGCACCGAACCCGTAACACTGGGTGATATGGGATAGATATATTATGTATATTTAGAGTATGTAGTTTATAGTTAATGCATATTATTTATTTATTGAACTTTATTGACCAATAAAGATGGTACAAAAGGCGGCCTTAATGCTAATAGCATTCTCTGCCAGTCAACCTTTGGGAAAACAGACAAACGCGATGGCGGTACAGAGCAATAAAAATAAAAAACTACAACAACAAATACTAAACTAATCATAAACATACTACAACATACTTAAAATATAAATAACATTACACATAATTACATACATAAATAAATACACACACACACACACACAGTGTTAGTATGTTTTATAATATTATAGTAATATATTTGTAATGGTATAATATTTTATAATTATTTTACTAATGTTGGCACACTACCACATCCTTCAACCAGGTGTCCTTTAATACAAGGGTTGTCTGGAGAACTAGAATTAAAGAACTTAATGTAAACTTTTAATTTGTGTGTGAGCAATGATAATTCATCCGTCTATCTAATGATATATAAGTCAGTTAGGGTTATATGTTTAGATTTAACCTTTAGTAATAATTTCACTTTTAGTAATAATTTCACTTTTAGTAATAATTGCACTTTTAGTAATAATGTCACTTATAGTAATAATTTCACTTTTAGTGCGGTATTCAGTTGAAAGATTCTCGAGCGTACCACGGCCATTTTAGACGAATGCACCCGGACAAGAACCGAACCAAATACCCGTCTATGAAGTCGCCTTGTATGTGCGAGGTTTGCGGTAGAATGTTTCAGGTGAGTAATTAAATTTCTATACGGCCTATTTGATGTTTGAAAGATGTTCACGAATTTCACGCTAAAATTATTTGACATTTTATAGAGATTGCGATCGTGACGTTTTTTTTTTGAAAGATTTGTAATGAACTCTAACGTTAATTTGACGTTAAATGGAATTGTCTAAGGCGAGTGTTGGACGTAAAATCTTTTTTATGTATAGGTTTCTTGATACTTCAAATAATTATTCGTTCTGCGTAATGCGAAATTAAATGTTACATAATTCAATAAATCCCTATTAAAATCGTTATACCTTTGAAATGGATTGCGATAGATTTTAAATTGGCATGCGAACCATCTCATCATCAGCCCTTTCACATCCCCACTGCAAGAGCTCAGGGCTTCCTTATGGATGGTTAATTAGATGGGCCGTGACCCTCCACGCGGGCCTAATAAGGATTGGTGTGTATTAACGACTGCAAATGTGCCTTCCGAAGCATCGAGATAATTTTTCGGTCACCCATCCCGTGACCAACCCTTGCGTTAATTGCTTAACAACAACGATCGCAGGCCGCGATTACTCCATGCCTTGTCGTATTTATCCATTTAATACAGGGATCATAATTCTCATTATAGATAACAGAAAGGCATTCATAATTGATTAAACTTTTGATGTTAGTATTATAAAAATTGTAGAAATAAAAAAATATACTGTTGGATTGAACAAAAATTGAAATGACAATATTAATTTTTTTTTTTTTTATAAAAAAGGGGCTTTTTCAGTATTTTATTTAAAAAAAAATATAGCAAAAAAATAATACTGATGCATTGAACAAAAATTGAAATGACAATATAAATAAACAAGTGAAAAAAAAAGGGGCTTTTAATATATATTTTTTTGTTTTTATTTGTCCATCCTAGACAATTTTCTCTATCGGAAACCATATTAGATAATTGTTGTAAAAAAATGTTTTAATAAAAAGGGGGCTTTTATTTTTCATTTTTTTTTATGTCCATCGTAGCCAATTTTCTTTATCGGTAAACCCTATTTGGATAATTGATTCCCCTTTAATAATAAATCTTAGAATACAAAAAATTAAAGAGTTTGTCACCATATTTTATAATTGTTTAAAATTGATTCCCTTTTAATAAGGGGCCGCCCATAAATTACGTCACACAACACCCTTCCCCCCTCCTAAAGTGTGACGTAATTTATGAATGACCCCTAACAAGTCTTAAAATACAAAAAAAAAATTTGGCACTCTGAACCGTGATTTAATATATATTTTTTAGAGTTACGCCTTACTAAAAGATCATACGTGGGTACATACGGGCGAGCGTCCCTTTAAGTGCGATCTGTGCGATAAATCTTTCCGTATGAAGCAACGCTTGGTCACACACAAACGGATACACAGCGCTGAGAAAACAATGTACGGATGTGATCTGTGCGGAAAACAGTTCAGCACGCACAGCAATAGGCAGCGGCATATGTTTGTGAGTATATTAGGGGTGTAGACCACTTTTTATTTTTTTATACATAAAATATATCTAAAAATATATATGTTATAACGGTTTACTTAACCCTCTATTAACAATAGTTACAATTTTAAAATTAGTTAAGTCTTTATCACTCATTAAAAAAAAACATAAGTTCCCGAAATCAAACTAGATGTCGCTAAGGTATTTTCTCCATGACAACCCTACCGGTTTTCTTTCGTGTATAAAAGTAAATTAGTTTTCAAAACTCAATAAACAACTCATATTCTATTTGTACTTTTTCGTATTTGTATTGATATCTAAGTTTCGAACTTTGCAAATTTCATTTTTTTTAATATGTTAGTTAAAAGGAACGGAAATGACTGTCTTTGGTCCATTCGTGTCCTGCAAAAATCAACTTTTACAAGAGTCGCCATCTAGTGGGGGTGCTTTTAAGTGCTTTATTTATTTATCTTAAAGATTTTAGATTTAATCATCAAAATTTACCGCGAGAACTCCATCTTCCATCATGGCGTCGCATGACGTCACGCCTTTGTACATTTTCTACAAAACTGTGACGTAGACCCCTCAAAATGAATTAGGGGGATCCAGGCTGATCATTTCCTGGACATTTTTGAAACCATGAACAGAATCAGAGGTTTGGTCTCCGGTCCGAGACTAAACTAAGTGAGAATTACCCAGAACTATTGACTGATGAAAATAAAGCTTTTTACAGAAAAATCTTTTTATTAACTTTACCACAAAAGAAAATGTAATTAAACTCAACGTATCCCTATATTTTATTGATTATGCAAAAAATAGACAGACAAACTAAAATTCGAACCCTATTCGATAGAAATTTCTGTAGAGAAAATATAATATATGTGATGAATGAATGAATGAAATGAAATACTCTTTATTGTACACACCATAAGTTAATGAACAAATATATAGTAATCTAACAAAATAGTACAATTGGCGGCCTTATTGCTAAAAAGCAATTTCTTCCAGGCAACCTTATGTGATATGATATGATGATATATATGAATTAAATATATATATTAATAATATTTTTATTGATTTTCAAGATCCACACCGGCCTGAAACCTTTCAAATGCGAAATGTGTGGGAAAGCATTCAAACATTCTAGCGAGAAAAGAGCTCATATTACTTATGTGCATCATAAAAAACCATGGCCCAAACGGAGTAGGGGAAAGAGGCGTACAGACGGACGACAGGTGAGTCCTTGCTATATAGCATAAAAAAATATATATTCAATAGCCTCCACAGCCGGTTTGAGCTCCGAGGAGCTTCGATTCCAGGTAGGTACCTTCGTTGTCTCAGATACTCCACTATACGGGGGCTTTATCTACTCATTTTGGAATCTGAGCAATGTATGTGAAGTTGTGTAATATTAAATGTTTATTTATTTATTTAATAGCTTTTTGCGAAAAACTAATTTAGTTTAGTAATTTTAGTTTGTAGTACAGTGAATAGGGACGATAACTATTTTTAGTATGTTTTTTAAGAATATGAAACGTATTTTTGCGTTATTAATATATTACGGAGATTGAATTGAATTGTAGCATGACGTCACACCTTTGTAAATTTTCTACATAGTTGTGACTAAGTTATCTAAGCTATTTTATATTTAAATATGTTTAAATTGAAGCAAATAAATACGTAACTAATATTTTTCTATTACCTCTATTTTTTTTTTAATCCAAGCATCATCCCTATAATTAAGAGGATTTGGATGTAAATTTCATTAAAAAAAAATTTTTTTTTCTTTTTTAATAGTTAACAATGGCTAATCAACAGTTAGGCCCGTCTGTGGACATAGATATACAACCAATGTGGAACTGCGACCCAAAGATGGACCTCGCCACGAATGTCAACGACAAACCTTATTATACCATGAAGATATAATCCTTATTCTTATGTAACAAGTCGGCTAATTGTCTCATTTCAAAATCTATTGCAATCCCTTTCAAAGGTTAGCGATTAGAATTATATAAGGTCGCAATTGCTCTTAAAACCAATGAGGATTTGTATGGTCATGAAATATAGGGTATGTTCCGATATACACTGCGACCACTGAACAGTATGACGTCAATTTAGTATACTGGAAGCCCGTTCCTTTATAGCTAGTTATACTGGTGACTTTTTAAAACGGAACGCAGTCCAGTATACTGTTAATCCTATTTTTTGGCGCCATTTTCAAATTTGTTAATGCAAGGTGAATAGGTATAAATATAAAGATTCCCCCTTTTCAAAAGAAAATTGGAAAATTGTATAAAAAAATTATTTATCCATCTTATAATAAACGTAAGTATTTTATTTTATCTGTTTCGACTGATCACGTGGTCAAAAGCACTGCGAGCACCTTACCTCGAAATCTCCAGTGCTCACAGTACAAATATGGCGGCGATTTGTGACGTCATAAATTTCCCTAGGGTACTGTAGCAGTGTACTGGCAGTCCATAACGGAACGGATTTTTCAGCAGTAAGACCACTGCGCAGTGCTCGCAGTGTATATCGGAACATACCCTACATTTCCGCCCGCCCCCCTCTCGGTCCCCTTTGTCGTCACACCCCGCGCCCCTGTACCGCGCGGGCGAGGACTCATTTAAACGGTCATACTATAGCTTTTAAAGATATTTTTGTGTCAAACTATTTTTGTAAGAAATTGTCGATATCTTTCATTTAATATGTTACGAAAAAACGTAACGTTTCAAACAGTCGTAGCGTTAATGTCGTGAATATCTTTCAAATGTAAATTTAATGTCGATGGAATTTGAAATTAGATAATTAGCGGCCATCCAAAAATTACGTCACACGTTAGGGGGGGGGGGGAGTCAACGAACTGTGACATTAGAACAATATTTAGTAGAATTTGTATAGACACACAGATGACATGAGGGGGGGAGGGGGTTAAAAGTATGCAGGAGGGGGGGGGGGGGGAAATTATGCATTTTGTGTGACGCAATTTATGGACGGCCCCTTAGACTCCAAAGTCGTAATTGTAAAATATCAGTTGTAAACATACCAGTGTACATATTTTATTGTATAATCAATTAGAACTAGCAATTAATAATTTAATATTTAAAATCTGCCTTATTGATAAGCGAGGAATAGAAAATGAACTCTCAAATAAATTATTATTATACTCATAATTGGTATTTATTTCATTTGTGTTGTGCTCAGAAAGATACGGGTGGTAATTTTTTTATTAATAAAATAAAATAAATTATAAAACTCTGAATTAAAAAAATTGTGATATTGAATCTAGTCCTGAGAGATATATTTTATTTTTTATTTTAATAACCCCCTATAAGGTGTGAATCTATGGTTAGTTTGTATTTTCTTCAATAGGCCTATAAATGCACTAGTAAAAAATATCGTTTCTTTTAGTGTGGATTAGTCTGCTCTATATAGGGTGACCAGACGAAAAAATCAAAAGTCCAGAGAAAAGATCCGATTTCCATAAACATATGTGATTTTGTTATTTTAATAATGTAATGAGAAACGACTTCAAAGTCTCATAAAGGCATTAACACTATTATTAATAAAGAAATTTTAGCGTTGGAGTAAATTTTCGCTGAGATTGTACTTAATATTAATCAAAATTCATATTATTAAACAGAGACTTGGCAAAGGTTAACCTAGCACGAGGTTCTGCGGGGGTAATATTACTCCTAGAAGGTAGTTTTGTTTTGCTTATTCTCTGTGTAATATGAATTAGGACTAATAAAAAAATTGCAACTTTAGCGTATATTTACTCTGACGTTAAACTTCGTTTATTAATAGCACTGTGTTATAATAATGCTTACAGTGCTATTAATAAACAAGGTTTAAGTTCTTTGTATGAAATAATATAGGGAAAAAAGCAGCCCTTGCTGAGTTGCTTGATGATTATTCTAGTACAAGTTCTCTGTAGATTTGCGAACCGACAGAGCAGCTTTAGACATTCATGAGTGCTTGAAATAGCCCAGACTGAATAAATTATATTGAATTTATAATAACATATCAATTATCATCAGTGGTCGGAATTAGGTAGAGTTATTCATGTACTTACACTGATTTCATACAGCGAAAGTATAAAGTGGATATGCCTCAAATCCCGAGATTAATTTTAAAGACCAGAAAAAATCCCGTGATTTTTTAAATAAAAAGTTATTTACTTTTACACAATTTCAACTAATGCACGCACGACGTTGCCAAAATTACATCAATGAAAGAAAGAAATAAAGAAATTCCGGGAAGGTCCACATTATATCAACATTTCGATGCAAGTACATAAATAACTCTATCTAATTCCGACCTCTGATTATCATATACGCATCAAAGGTGATTAGTAGATTTGAGAAAAAAAACAATATAACAATAAAAACGGGAAAATTATGACACATTAATAAAAAAAAATAGAATGCTATTAGCATTAAGTCCGCCTTTTGTACCATCTTTATTGGTCAATAAAGTTCAATAAATAAATAAATTATTATATATATTAATCGCTTCGGAAATTCACCTTCCGGTTTGATACATCCTTAATTTTTGTTTTTCAAAAATAATCAATTGTGACTGATATCTTTTTTAATTTTAAAATATATATAGAACATCAGATTTTTAAGATTCTTAAAAAGATATAAAAATCAGATTAAATTATTTTTAAAAAACAATAATGAAAGATGAAAGCGGAGGTTCAATTTCCAAAGATAAACGCCCTTATAAAATAATTTCGAGATTTTAATCTTTGATATCTCGGTAAATTATTTTAATATTATACTTATAACTCTAACGAATTAACACGATACCTGAGAGCCTATTATATTTGACCTTGTTCTCATAATTTTGATAGAATCATATCCGTGAAGGTTGTCTGTCCATCAAGCCAGTGTCGGGTCCCACCTCCGTTGGATCATAAATTATAGAAAAATTCGTTTCTTTGGAGTTGCATTAGCATTTAGAAAACAGAAGAGACGTTTTTTGATAAATAGAATAGGTGTCATGTTATTTCGTACGAATATTAAATTTATTTACTGATGCACTAAACAAACTTAAAAAAAGCTATTTTTAACTGTATAATGTTGATATTTTAATATCATTTAGGGAACGCTTTATATTTTCCTTCTTAGTCTATATTGGACGGTAAGTTTCAACTTGTATTTCGCGTGTATCTTCGTTGCGCATAGCAGATCTACCCATACCCACTATGTACAATTAAATTTTATAGTGCAAAGTGAGTCTTCTTTCAATAACCGTAAGGTATAAAATTCAACGCAGCATATGTCAGTCTCACTCACACTCAATGGATGTCAGGCGCGTGGATATTGGTGGATCGTTTGATGGCGTGATATTTGAATCATTCTGATTGGTTGCCGCGCTTCGATGTTTATCCTTTTAGGTACATCAGCGAGACATATCAGTTGTATCTTACTATTTAATTCAGATCATGATAACAATCTTAGAATATTATTAGGAATTGTATTATGTCCGTAGATGTGTAAATAAATAAAAATATACAAGTACATTTTTAAAAATGCCTTTTTATTCATTAAAAAAAAAACAATAATCTTTATTTTACATATGGTGCATGGCATTGATTATATAACTAGTTATGTAATTAATACTTACTCATGAGAGATTTATAAATATTTTATTGCTATCGTTTGAAATATTTCCCTCAATAAAGAAATAGGTTATAAATTGCACTTCGAAAATTGATAATTTGATAAATAATCCTCGAAGTTAATAATAAATTCGAAAATTAATCTAAATTTGATGGACCGCATTTTTTTTTATATGTTACGTGTAAAGGAACGCAAATTATTGTCTCTGGTCAATTATATAACTTGTCATTACAAAGTAGATGCAAACTAGTTTCACTGCATTGTATGCATGCATTAATTTTACGATACTAAAATAGTTTCGTGCGATTCGCAAATTTTTGATGAAATAAGTGTTAGGGGCCATCCATAAATTATGTCACACAGTAGGAGGGGGTGACGACGCACCGTGACATTAGAACAATATTTAGTAGAATTTGTATAGACAAACATGTGACATGAGAGGGGGGGGGGGGGGGGTTAAAAATCATGAATTTTGTGTGATGTAATTTATGGACGGCCCCTTACCTAGCCAATTTATTGTTGCTATCGATTTCTCATTACAAAACTACGACCTACGTGTTGTTATAGTGATTTATGGAATTATGCAACTTTTAAAGTCACAATCGCTTTTGGAAAGAATGATGATTGAAAACTTCCGATTAACGTCAAATAAACGCCATCGTTCATTCAATATCTTAAAAAAAAGTCACGGTCGCAATTGCTAACACATCGCACACCTAGATCTAAACTAAGATAACTCAAAAATTTTAGTGAGTTTTGACTTAGTACAATATTCAAATACTCTGTGATCTTACGCATCTATCCAACATAACACATTCAATAAAGGTTCGGGGATGAGCCGCTAGATGACTTTAGCTTTCTTTTGTTGAATCAACAGTGGTCGCGCTCCTGCCACATAAACAAATGTATTGTCAGACCTCCACATTAGTTTTTTGAGTTGTCTTAGTTTAGATCTAGGTGTGCGACATGTTAAATAGTTGTAGCGTGAAGTTCGTGAATATCTTTCAAATGTCAAATTCAAAGGTTTCACATGTGCCGAAACTAGTTTCGTGAAATAAAACTAATTTCGGCACGTAATATAAATTCGGCTTTACAAACTGCCGATGGTTTGGTTTTTCGTTAAAAGCTTATGACATGATTTTGTGGTGGTTTTTCGAACACATATAGAAAGATGAAGTATTAAGAGACACATGAGGCGTCGAGGATATAGACCAGCTCCCCGATGGACTAGCTTACTGTGCCGAATTCGGATCACCTATGATGTCATATCATCGTAGTATGAATATGCAATTTTTTTCTTGTTTGGATTTGGTGTGTCATTGTTGTTACTGGCGTCTTCATTTTGGCGCGGACTTCGCAATTGGTAGTTTACAAACACGTTGAGGATAGACAACATGTCATGTATTAAATCTGTAGTATTCTTTATCTGTTGAGCATTCATAAAAAAATATTAGACATTCTGCATTGGATTTTGTCATTTCCAAACAATATTATACAATTATAACATTAAAATAATGTATTGTAAAGCAATGGTGTTTACTTTAAATCACGTTACTCTCTATATGTCATGACAAAGAGCATAACTTCATAAATAACATAAATGACCATAAAGTATATATACAACAAGCTCTACTTTCATTATATTAAGGTTTAAAGTCGAGTGGGTAATTTGTCAGTTTTGTGCCTTTTATTAAAATTGGGCCGTCGACACCCGTAAATAAATGACGTCATAACGTCAACTAGTATTGTAAGCTAAAAACTGTATTTTAACTTGACTTAATTTTAATCATTTACAGTGTTATTAATAAACAAGGTTTATTATTTAGTTATATAAGGTTTATTAACAAGGTCAAAATTCATATTATTGAACCGATTTAGCAAAGGTTAACCTACTACGAGGTTCTACCTACTAGTACCTAAACCTACTAGTTTGCTTATTCTCTGTATAATATGAATTTGGGCTAGTTTTACGCAATAGGGTATTTGACAACATTAAAAATTGTGATCATCATATAAAATAAAAGCGTTAAAACACTTGATGTAAAACGAAATAATGTATATTTTTGCAAATTACACAAAATAAAATTAATTATTTTTGACATTTTATCTGAGACTAAAACGCCTTGTAAGTGGTTGCATCTCCGATGACGTCTCACGCTAGTAAATATGGCTACTTGTTGAAGATTTTAGTATTATGAAGTTTGTGAAGTAACTAGCTTGTAGTTTATTGATAAATACAGTAAATTTCCCCAAAATATTAATGTTATGTAATAAACAATAATTTTAAACTATATTTCCAAATTAATCAAATACCCTATTGTCTTATTATTAATTAACACGAATATTGACTTACGTGCTCGTATGAATTGACTAAAGTCAACAGATCGAACTTGTCTTTGTTTACTTCAATCCTTTTAAACACATCTTCCATATCCGTATACGTTTTGTTAATATAACTAATCATATATCCCAGCTTAAACATTGGGTATTCCCTGTACATTCTTTGTAAGGCTTGGATTAAATCTAATTTTGAATTAACTTCTTTCAATGTGTAAGTAGCGTAATTATAAATTTTCTCTTTTACTGGGTCTTCGGCTGACACATTTTTAGCTTCCAATAATACTGGTTCGAATTTATTATAAACATTGCGTTTGTAATAATTATAGGATTTCAGTTTCTCATTTAAATAATCAGTTAATTGCTTGTCACTTGCTTTGGTGAATTCAATCGGATTTGCTTGTGGAACTGTATTCATATTTTCACTGTCATTAGTTCTCATGTCAGTATTAGTTAGAAACTTCGATGATATCAGCTTTGGATATGTGTATACATTAGGAGGTTGTGAGGTGTCCGGGTTAATCCAAAAATATCCATACACAGATCCCATGTTGATGTTCATGACGAACGCTAAGACCACTGAAAAAAATACAAATTCAAAAGAAAACTAATTCTTCTAAAAATTATAACGCCATGTGATAAGGCTGTACGAGTATGGGCTTAGTACCCTTTGCCTTCCCCACTGGGTAAATCCATGTTCTAAAACTAAGTAACAACTAAATCAAATCAACAAGAAATGAGGAAGTATAATATTTCCCGAAATCAAACTATAATATGTTATGTATAATATGTTAGTTAAAAGGAACGTAAATGACTGTCTTTGGTCCATACGTTTCCTGCAAAAATCACCTTTTGTTAGAGTCGCCATCTAGTGGAGGTACTATATAGTGCTTTCGTTTTTTTTTAAATACTTCCTCATTATAACCCGTAACACCATAGACAATTAAGCAATTGTGTTTTTTTTTATTTTACATATAATCTGTCAAACGTCACCACTTGATTTTATACCTTAATGTTTCGATAGTGGAGATTGGAGATTAAAACAGCTGGAGAAATTTGACATACGTATTGTGTTATTCCAATATCCCAACAGGGCGGGATCTAGGGGTTGGTTGTATAATTAATTTAAAAAATATATTGTAGGGGGAGTAAGAGCGCCAGTGTTATATGGGCGCCAAAATCATCATTATATAAAAAGCTTAAAAGAAGGAGGAGAAAGATGGGAGTAATAAGAAGTTCTTGCCCCGGTTGGACGAAATCGTAGATCAGTAACTGCAGCCGTGTGAACATATTATGAATAAAAGGGTATAAAATTTTCTTGAAAATTGTGCAATTTGTCACAAATAAGTTCGTAGAAAACTGAAACTGACGTAAAAAAAATATTTTTTTTGTAACGTTATGGGTACCTATTGAATACCGATACAGAATTAACTTTTGACGAAAGACAAATACAGTAGAACCCGTTTAAGACGATCACGCTTAATACGATTTCTCGTATAATACGCCATTTTGCATCAGTCCCTGCAACTTGAGACATGTTTTCATGCATTCTTTAACGCTTAATACGATCGTCATCCCCTTTAATAAGGCGTAGGCGAGAGTGTGAATAACACACAAGAGGCTCTAAGTGATAATGATCAAGAAGATGAGTCAACTCGGATTTTGCCACACGCCCAGGCATTATCAGCAGAATGATTTAAGACGCTATGTAACTTCTTTGAATTAAAGCGAAGACGCACTACAAAAGTTGAATTACGTTGAAAATATTGTAATTGCTAATGCCTCATAATCTTTCTGTCAAACTAAAATAAGTGATTATTTTAAATAACGTGATAATAATACACAACATTTTATATAACGTACATAATTTTTAAACGTACAATTCAATACCTACATCCAAAAAAACAATAAATATTAATACATACGCATGTAGTAGTCCGTTTTTTATTTCACTGTATCCCGCATAATACGCTTTCCCGCTTGAGACGCGTTTTTGGCCGAGTCCCTGTGAAATCGTCTTAAACGGGTTTTACTGTACTTATATTTATTATATTTTAGGCCATAATACGTTGATATTTAAGTTGATTTGATTTGATTGCAGAAAGGCTTGTTTTTAAAAGCATTTTGAAACTCAGAATATTGGTTTGATAAATAATTAATTTAAAGAATATATTAATCTAAAATATATCTACTATATTAATACCTAGATTTACTAAAAAAACTTACGTATCGCCCAAGAAACACTCATCTTACTCGGTAGAAGAAAAATAAATAGCCAATAAAATTGCCATGACAAATTGATTATAAGTTTCAATTTTTAATTTATATTTACATGTTCGAGTATATGTAATGATGTATTTTACTAACCAGCATTCGTTCTTCGCTAAGTCAATCAAAGACTCGGTGATAACTTGAAACTTGGAATGAATTACGCAATAAAAATCAATTGGTAAATGCAGGTAACTTTTTAAGTGACTCTAAAAAAATTTTAAAAAATCGTTGACTTGGGATGTGACGTCATAGCTAGCACTTAGTTTCGAATGTTTGATTCAATACTCAACTCGTGTATGCCATACAGACTCACGCCGAGAAGTCTTAGCGACACAAATATAAAGGCATGAGAAGGCGAGAAATATATCACATTCATGAGTGTCGGGTGTTCTCGGGACTACTCTACAATGTCACAGATTACGTCGCCACAGAGTGGACGACAAAGATTATTAAACAGATGTGCCACAGTGGGTCGTCGTGAGTTTCATTTCAATGTATCGCCGTAATTTGTTGATTTAGCATAAAATACGTGTTTAATAGTTATTTTTGATAATCTAACCGACGGACAAACAAAAATTAGTCATCATCCATATTAGCGTACAACACTTTTCAATATGGCCGTGTTTTGTCTTAACTAGCACTCATCAAGAGTGCTTTCAGCTGTTTAGGTACAGCTATTACCAAATTTTGTTCGTAGTTTTACTAGTAAAAAATATCACCGAGGAATTTTCTTTATCATGGAGAAAAAAATCTCAATGAATATTTCAGTCTTTCTTTATCAACAAATACTATTAGTGAAGAGGAATTCACGCGGGATTTTAAGAAATAAAACAAAAATTCATCACAAAATACACTTTAATTTATTATAAAAAATATATTAACGCCACATAAATGCATTTCCCATGATTTCAAACTGACAAACTAGTTGCAAAAAAATAAATTAGATAAATAAAACTTAATATCAAAATTTGCCCATAGACAATACTCTATTTATTTATACTTTATGGAAAACTTTAATACTTATTTGGTTTGCATTTGATATTTAACGATTCCTTCTAGCGCATTGATACACATCTTAAAAAATCTAGTTATTTATGTAGATATTTTTTTATTGGCAGAGAATTTAATATGTTTAATATAATTCATAATTAAAATAATTCAAATTTCAATTTTATAATATGTTAGTTAAAAGGAACGGAAATTACTGTCTTTGGTTCATTCGTTTCCTGCAAAACTCAACTTTTATCTATTAGTGGGGTGCTTTTTTAGTGCCTTGTTTTTTTCGTAATCATTAAATTACAGTAATACAATGCGTTGAAATGTAACATAACATCACGCTTATGTACATTTTCTACAAAACTGTGACGTAGTGAACCCCCACTCCTCAACTTTAATGCCTGTTAACTATTTCTTGTAACAATTGACGTAAAAAAATGTATCTAATATTTTTCTATTATCTGACTGACAGACTAAATAGAATTTCTTTTTTTTTACCTAGGTGTCGTCCCTATTACTATTCGACTACGAAAGATTTAAAAAATATTTATTTAAAAAGGGCAATATAAGGATTCGGTGGTCAACAGTTGTTACTTAAAATTAATGGAAGTTAATTTAGTTCGGTTTTTGCGTCCCTCAAGTATTGACTGTTGTCAATTTCCTCTTCTTCTTCTTCGAATTCCACCTCTTCGTCATCAACACTGGCTTCCTTTAATTAAAAATAAAACATTTGTAGATATTAATTATTGACCTTTTAAAAGTGGCAAAAGTTACTCATTATACGGGTGCTGCCTTATTATTTAACCATGACTATTGGATACCATACGATTTGACATCTTGGGGGGGCCGTCAAAACGACATATCACAAGGGCGGAGGGGGGGGGGAGTAATATATCACGTGTATTTATTTTTTCCTCAAACGCGCCATTACTAAACCGAAAAGCGGCGTTAAAAATTAAGATTTTTTTTTTTTGTAGGTACTATAAAAAATACACGTGATTTGGGTGGGGGGCGAGTTGTCTAAAACCTCACCATGTATCACCAAGGGGGTAGGGAGGTTAAAAAATGTTGAAAAAAAATATCACGTGATTAATGGAAGGCCCCTTGCCTATGATATGGCGATATTTCGTTTAACCACTTTGACATTCCTTTCGATGCATAAATTACTAAGTTGGTAACGCTACCGTCAAATCCATATCCATTCTTTATCATTGGTTTATCGTTATTGCAGTTCATGTCAAAGTAGCAAAATACCGCCTTAAAATCACTTTGTGTTAATATTGGAATTTAGGTAGATTAAGTTCAAATATGTTGAGATTCTATTGAGTTACATAAACAGTAGCTGAATAGGCCTACTGTTGTATTTTGTTGAGGCCAACAGTGACAACACAGACCATTACGAAATGCGCCATTAAATTAATAAGACCAGTGAATTAATTCTATCACAATACCTTTCAAAGGTTGGTGCGTCATTATATTGCTTTTAATTACATTTACATGATGAAACGCATGTATTTTTAAATTAAGTCGAGGGTAATCAATTTTCAATATTTTTTTTATCTACCCTATTCCTATCTATAAAACCCTTGACTGATTGATACTTCGTCATCAACTCTCGCGCTATGAGAACTGAAAATCAGCAGACGAGGTTCCACGTTATCTTATATTCATTATCCAAAAAGTAGTGATACGCAAGTTGTGGCGACTGATACATAGCGACATCTAATTCATCGCAGTAACATCGCCACAACAATCGGTAGCGAGAAGAATAGCATCGTCACAGCCATCGATAGCAAGACGAACTGCAATAAGTTTCAACAGCAAGTAACGAGATGGCGCTGTACCAATACAAGCAGCATAAATGAATAACTACAAGACATTTAGAACAAAGAAACCTACATCACACAGAATAAGTTTAATTACCAATTAACATAAATAGAACGTCCAACCTACATCGGTTGGACCGCGGTCCCCGGGCTAATAACACCTAGCTCGGAGGGAGACAATTATCCTTTAGTCTCCCTGACCAGTCGTCTCCATCATCACACTAGGGACCAACATTCAATCATACGGTTCCTAAAAAGTCATACTCGCGTCGCGGTCGCGTACTATCAGCTGAAATTGTTAATTAGGACGAGATGCAGGAAAGGACGGCTGTTCTCTAAAGATACAACATTAGTAACCAAATTCATACAGGTCAGACAGTCATTCATTTCGTTTTCCCCACCAAAGGTATAGCAATGAGGAAGAATAAAAAAAAGCATTAGTTCCAGAAATCAAACTAGATGTCGCTACGGTACTTTCTTGATTTCTCCATGACAGCCCTTCCGGTTTTCTTTCGTGTATAAAAGTAAATTAACTTTCTAAACTCAATAAACAAATCATTCTATTTGTACTTTTTCGTATTTGTATTGATATCTAAGTTTCGAACTTTGCAAATTTCATTTTTTTAATATGTTATTTAAAAGGAACTGAAATGATTATCTTTGATCCCTTTGTTTCCTGTAAAAATCAACTTTTGCTAGAGTCGCCATCTTGTGAGGTGCTTTTTAGTCCTTTTTTTAATACTTTCTCGTTAACGTAAAATTAACGGTATCTTTCATTCAAATTTAAAAAAGAAACGTCCAAGATATATCGCTGTCACATGTAAAATAGTTGTAGCGCGAATTTCGTGAATATTTTTCAAATGTCAAATTGAAAGGGATTGCGATAGACTTTAAAATTACAGAATTAGGCGTTTACTTGTGTAGTAGTACAGTCTTTGTTGACAAGTAAGGAATGCGTTATTTCGCTTGTTAAATAACTATTATATATAAATAACTGTTAACTGTGTTAATTTACCTGATATTGTTGATATTCTGATATGAGATCGCTCATGTTGCTAGCAGCTTCTGTGAACTCCATTTCATCCATACCTTCGCCAGTATACCAATGAAGGAACGCCTGTGCAGATAAATATAAACCGGTTAATAAAAGTGTTGCAATAATATACTGTTAAGTATGTAGCTCGGTGTTGTAGTGGATAAGCGGTTCGGCCCGCGATCGTTGTTGTTAAGCAACTTTCGTAAGAGTCGGTCACAGGATGGGTGACAGATAAAATTATTTTCTCGTGCTTTGGAAGGCACGTTAAGCCAATGGTCCCGGCTGCATTTACAGTCTTTATAGCCACCAATCCGCATTAGGCCCGCGTGGCGGCTCATGGCCCATTCTCTCAATTTGAGTCGAAATTCCTCGCAAATTTCTTTTTATCTAAGGATTTAACGCTCACAATGACGTCAATGTTTAGTTTATTAAATTATGACGTCACATTATGCTCCGACATGGCCACCCGCGTTTCTTCTGATCCACAGACTATTAATTGCAAGTTATTAATTTTGCAAAAAATAAAATATACACTTATATTTTATATTCGAGCATAAATTAAAAATGTTTGCTTTAACACTTGTAGAAAAATAAATTTGATATTGGTATAACATCTATACTAATATTATAAAGAGGAAAACTTTGTTTGTTTGTAATGAATAGGCTCAAGAACTTCTGGACTGATTTTAAAAATTAACTAAATGGAAAAAATATAGGGTTACATAAGATATTTGGGCAAGGTGTAAAAAATCAACCAGAAAAGTTACTTATTTTACGCACGGTGCCTAAACTATAAAAGATAGAACCATAAAATGTTGTAATTATTAGTAGATATTTTATAAATTTAAAAATCTTGAATATTTTTTGGACTACATTTAAACGCGTTTATTTTACTCATGCTATTAATCCTTATCAAAAAAAATTATTTCATCACTAATCACAGTTTATGTAGATGATATTTGGTCTTTGAAAGATTAACATTGGACGTTTGCTTTTGAAGTTATGGCGAAATTAAAATATTACGATTTCTGCCGCACGGCCCGTTGCGAAGTGGACGTCACCGAGGCAGGGGGGCGCGTGCGGGAGGCGGGAGGTTAGATCTATGAGTAAGGTACTAGCGGACCATGCGGGCGAAGCCGCTGGCGGAAAGCTAGTCTTATATATATTAAATTTTGTGTCACGATGTATCATCATCAGCCCTTTTACGTCCCCACTGCAGGGGCTCAGGCCTTCCTTATGGATGGTTAAGGAGGATGGGCCATGACCCTCCACGCTGGCCCAATGCGGATTGGAGGGTATTAACGACTGCAAATGCAGCCGGGACCAACGGCTTAACGTGCCTTCCGAAGCACGGAGTAGTTCGAGATAATTTTTTTTTTTGTCACCCATCCCGTGACCGACCCTTGCGAAAGTTACTTAACGACTACGATCGCGGGCCGCGGCGCTTATCCACTACGCCACCGAGCTACTCCACTACGCCACCGAGTCATCCACTACGTCACCGAGTCACGATGTATGTTGCCAATAAACTCCAAAACTACTGAACCGATTTCAATCAAATTTCACATGTACCCGTATTTTGGTCTAACTTACTGGATAGGATAGTTATCGTCTCAATTATTCGCTTATGTCGTGAATGTAAACTAATAAAATGTACTAATTAATTGTTTCTTCAGCAAGTCTTTATTTTACCGGAAGGGTTTTATTTCCTCAGTTGCGATTAGAGAAATAAAATATGGCGGCACGAAATTTGCCGGTTAGCTAGTATGATATAAAGTATTATAATAGCTATGGCTGTCTATAAATATAACTTACCCGTCTTCTGAACATAGCAGTGAACTGTTCCGAGATACGTTTGAATATCTCCTGAATCGCTGTGGAGTTGCCGATGAATGTGGCTGACATTTTGAGTCCGCGGGGAGGGACGTCGCACACGGCCACCTTCAGATTGTGCGGGATCCATTCTACGAAATAACTGAGAGCGTACGTTTATTATAAGATTTTTGTTAGAAATATGACAGCGAAAGGTTTTTATTATTAAATTTTATTAATTTATTTTATCGCATTCCACATTTTTTTATTTATTTAAAACCACTATAACTACATATTTATTATTGGCAACTATATTAGCGTAACATTTATTTTACATGACAGTTTTTAACAGAGCAACCCACTGAGGTTTTTATTCAATAAAACAAGACCTATATACTACAGGGAAACAAATATCGAACAGAGTTAGTTTGAGAATCTCTTATTTAATTCTAGTTGACGTTCACAAGTTGTATTCGAGAATCGAAGAGTCTAGATGGAATTACAAATCACCCCCCTTCAGGCTTATAGCGCCCAATTTTTTCTGGGTCACTTACGGGCCAGCAGCGCCCACAAGGGGGCGCCATCGCTGACTTTGGGAAAGGCTGGTGTAGACGGTGGGAGCGTACCTGGAGTTCTTGTTCTGCACGGCGAGGATCTGGTCGTCCACCTCGCGCATGGACATGTGCCCGCGGAACATGGTGGCCACCGTCAGGTAGCGGCCGCGTCTCGGATCCGCGGCCGTCATCATGTTGCCCGGGTTGAACATCTGATGCAGGTAATAATAGGGTATTAATTTACTATTGTGATAAAAACGACGTAAATACATCAGTTACAATTATCATTTATCACACATTACAAAAAAAAAAAATTTATAATTCACATTCATTATTAAAATAATTGAAATTTATCACACATAAAAAAGGTAAGTCATAAATAAAATAGGTCAATAAATTAACAATTACATTAAATAATACTAGTCACTATCTTCATTGTCAGAGTTACCAGAGTTGCTCCATTGGTCCCTTACACTCTCACAGTACGTCAATAATTGCCGCTTGATATTTTTCCAATTGTCAAACAAAATAATCGAAATCGGTGTTGGCGTCACGAAGTGCATTGAGGTGACGCAGAGATTCTGATTTTGAGTCTCAAAACCGCACAATTATCTTATTGTCTCAAAATTAAAATACGCGATATTTTGTATTTGTGTCACGTGACTTACCGCCATCGTGTGACGTCACTGTGACGACAACTGTCAAATTAGTCATAAAGAGACACCTATTAATTATAAATCAAATTCTTAGATGGCGCTGTTTATAGCTTATTTATTTCTTTTTGTTTCGGAATCAATCGTAAGATGGCATTGTTCTCGTTTTATTAGCATATTTTAATCTTGTACTCTATGCATCTGTTTTGTGTACATATCATAGTGACGTCACGATTATGACGGACAGCATTATGTCGGGTATAAAAAGATTAAATTTCGATTTAAAGTAAAAAAAACGTGTTTATTATTCCGAAATATTTGTTTTAAAATGAAAATAAGCAGTTTCAAGTATTATTTCAAACGGAGTAGAATACCCTATTGTTATCACTGTTTTAAATATCAAATTACAGGCCTATTCTACTAATATTTAGGTAAAAATCGCATGTGAATAGAATCTCTTCTTGCATTGAACTATTGTACTATCTACGGGTGCGTTTGCCTTATTCATGATCATCTTTATCAGTCTTTTTACTTCCCCACTGGGGCTCAAGCCTTCCTTGATGGTGATTCGGGATAGAAAAAATCTGGCTTTTTTATTGATTCGCTGGCCGTTTCCTTTATCGTTAAATAATATGGTATTGTGCCTCTTTTATTTACTGTGGAATTACTCCTTTCTTTATGTTTTGTGGCCTGTGAATTTTGTTTGCTTATACATATTAATTTAGATTTTATAGATCCATTTGTTGATTTCATAAAATTTTTAATGTATTCGCTTTCATATATTAAAAAATCAATTTCTATATTAATTTTAAAGCAGAGTTTGTTTATTTGTAATTTATTGTGATATATATAGTCAATAATGGGTTGATCAATGCTTATGAATTTACAATTTTTATAATTTTGTAGTATCAAATTAATTTTAGTATTTAATTTACTAACATTTAAATAATTATTACGTCGTACACTTAAGAAAAACACTTTACACTTTAAGTTACATAAGGTGTTGCATAAATTTGCTATAACTGTGTATGGGTTATTATCTTTAGTTCCCAAAGATAAGATCAAAACGTCGTCTTTTTTTTAAATGTCCTCTATCGATAAGACACTATTCACGATTTGCGTATTCGGCGCGAACGGCTTTGTTACACTGCGGATGGGCCATGACCCTACACGCGGATCCAATGCGGATGGGAGGGTGAACGAGATTAACGACTACAAACGCATCCGGGACCGCCACCAAGCTACTCAACCGCTTTATATCTAGCCTTAATTCTAACTATAGGATCTAACTCTCTAATACTAACAATAAGATATGACGTCTTAACGATATTATGATTATAATTTTATTTCAATTATTATTTTTAATTATGTTTTGGGCCATCTGCTGGCGACGCCCCTGACGGGCGCTCTGAAGTCTAATATTATCAATACAATGTTTTCCTCATACACCCATGGTGACAGATATATGGATGTTGAGGATCGTCAGCTGGACCGACCTATTTTTATACGTTGTCCATGTTTTTATGTATTTTTTGACGTGGATACGTCTATGTTTTCGTTCTACAGGGGGGGTCATTCTATGAGCAGGAGTATATGCACTAACACCATCTATTGGCGTATAAGTGAACTATGCTTGCTCTGCAGGGGGAGGGGCATCTGTCAGCAGGAGTATATGCACTAACGCCATCTGTTGGCGCTAGTGAATACTTTTTTTATTCAAGAAATGAACGCAACGAATATTTATTTATTTAGTGTTTAGTGTCTTAAAATATGGCTGTATCAATGATACAGCCAACCAGGGTTTTTTTTTATATATATTTTGACTTTTATTTAATTTTTTTTTTTTTTTTATATTGACGTATGGTTCTTATGATTGATTAACACATGCTTTGGCGAGAACCTTTGCTTTGAGGACAATATAAGTATTTGTGAAGATAAGCTGTTTATATCGCACCTGTGCCCACACCGGTCCTCGTCAGGTAGTTAGTACAATACAAATAGCCAAAAATTTTTTTTTACAAATGTTTAAACTTTCGATATAGACGAAAATTTATTCTAATTATTATATTTGATTAAAATATTTTTCAGTATAGCATTGTGAATGCAAAACTGATCAAATATAATAATCGTTTAATGTGGTTAGGTGGTTCCTAGTCATAGGTGAAATTTTCACTTTAAGCAATGAGGAAGTATTTAAAAAAAACGAAAGCACTAAAAAAGCACCTCCACTAGATGGCGACTCTAGCAAAAGTTGATTTTTGCAGCAAACGAATGGACCAAAGACAGTCATTTCCGTTCCTTTTAACTAACATATTAAAAAACTGAAATTTGCAAAGTTCGAAACTTAGATATCAATACAAATACGAAAAAGTACAAATAGAATATGAGTTGTTTATTGAGTTTGATACACGAAAGAAAACCGGGAGGGTTGTCGTGGAGAAATCAAGAATGTACCGTAGCGACATCTACTTTGATTTCGGGAACTTTTTTTTAAATACTTCCTCATTCCTAAATATTTAAGCGACACATTCAGGCGACTCTTAAGTTTAGTGTAAACGGGCGTTAAAGTATTAAATTCTCTAAGTTTAAAAATAAAAACGTACTTACTTGATTCATCAGTTCCTGCACCGTTTGTGGTCTGTAGTTGAATGAATTTCTTGCAGTAAGTGGAGCGAAACCTACAGAATGATTAATTTATTTAACCAATTAATTTACATTATAATTTCCTCTAATATACACAGTTACACAATATATATAGGGGCATTCCACGCCAAGCGGACAGGTAAAAAAACTTGGTGTTTACGATTTCAGTAATATTTGAGTATGTACTACTTATACATGTCCTTAACTGCAATCTTATGTCAGGTCTAGGTCAGGGGCCGTCCATTAATTACGTGACACAAAATTTATACTTCCCCCCCCCCTCCTGTCACATGTTTGTCTATACAAATTCTACTAAATATTGTTCTAATGTCACAGTTCGTCGACCCCCCCCCCCCTTAATGTGTGACGTAATTTATGGATGGCCCCTTAAAGCTTTTATTATGTTTCTTGATGTTTCAAATCTTCATTCATTCCAAAATTACGACTTTAAACGTTACATAATTTCATAAATAGTACAATCGCCAGCGTTTGAAAGTACATGGTATCGATTATTTCTTAGTAAACTTACTTATACTGTACATATTTTTACTTAGTTTATTTACCCGGCATAAAGAAATGTAGCCGTGGGAATGGGACCATGTTGACAGCTAGCTTCCTCAAGTCGGCGTTCAGCTGTCCAGGGAATCTCAGACAGGTAGTCACTCCGGACATGGTCATCTGCAAAGTGAAATTCAAATTAGTGGTACTAGTATAGTACTCTATCATCTGTGGTGTAAACAATTCGACTCTTGAATAATTTATGAATGAGGGGTTTGAAGATGCAGTAGTTAGCAGAGTTCGTTTTTCGATTTGGAAGTTAAGCAACTTTCTCAAAGGTCGGTTATAGGATGGGTGACCAATTTTTTTTTGTCTGCTGTCGTTAACATCCACAGTGTACTCGAGTGGTGGGCCATTGGGCATTCCTCACTTTTCGATTTTAACGCCTGAGCAATAGGGGCATTTATAGTCTGCTGATGACTCACCGATATAAGATGATTTAGATCTCCATAACTCGGGCTGCTGAGTCGCAAGGTTCTAAAGCATATGTTGTAGAGAGCTTCGTTGTCGATGCAGAATGACATATCAGTGTTCTCGACCAATTGGTGAACTGATAATGTGGCGTTATAAGGCTCTAGGACCACTTCGCTCACCTGCCGAATGAAAAAACATGAATGTATGTACATAGGAAAAAATTGGCATAATAAAACAATTGATGTATCTCACTGATGTACCCGCGACTGACTCTAGCAAAAGTAGATTTCTGCAGGAAACGAATGGACCAAAGACAGTAATTTCCGTTTTAACTAATATTTTAAAATACTGAAATTTGCAAAGTTCGAAACTTAGATATAAATACAAATGAATACCCTTCATGGAGAAATCAAGAAAGTGTCGTAGCGACATCTAGTTTGATTTCGGGCACTAATGTTTTTTTTTTAATAGTTTCTCATAGTCACGCGCTGGGTGTGAGTGAGACGGACACATGATGTGTTAATTTTACATCTTACGGTTATCGAAACAAGACTCACATTACACTTTAATCGTACATCGTCGACGGTGGATCTACTCTGCGTAGATTCACTATGCGACATAGAAGTTGGATTTTTTTCAACTCATTTTGAAATATTTGTAGTTTTCAATTATAATCTAAGACATGGATCAAGAAGTTTGAATATATATTTATATTTAACTTATACTAGCTGTGCCCGCGACTTCGTTCACGTGGAAAATAGCCTTAGTTAGGTACTCCATATTACATAAACTATATGCTAGTGAATGCTGTCCCAAAATTGGTCCAGCCGTTTCAGAGATTAGCCGGAACAAACAGACAGATAAAAAATATTATTGTGGTAAATCCATATGTATACATATAAATGTATCTAGCAAAACACTGTTATGTTAACATTACTAACAGACACTCCAATTTTATTTGTTAAATTATATTTTTTGAACCGCACAGTTATTTTTTATGTTACGTGTAAAGGAACAAACATTTATTTTTCTATGGTGCATTTTGACATCCTCATTTCCGGTTAAGAATTGATAGAAAAATGTCAAATGTACTACCGCCATCTAGTGACATTTATTAAGTAGCCAGTCTTTTAATTCCTTGTTGTCTTTACCTTTGGCGATGGCACCACACTAAATGTGTTCATAATTCTGTCCGGGAATTCTTCTCTGATTTTACTTAGGAGCAATGTGCCCATTCCAGAGCCTGTACCTCCACCGAGCGAATGGGTCAACTGGAAACCTGAAAAATTTAATCAATCCAAACTTTACTGTGTAATGGCAAGTAAATGACAAGCAAACATACACAGCATGGCGCCATTTTGACGAGTTACTAAATAAATTGAGCATTATATAATAGACTTTTCCCGCGTAAATTTGTACCTTTATGTCACTTGCGTATGTAGCTGATAGAATTTATAAAATTGGTTCAGAAGTTTCAGTACCAATTCAATCCAAACAAAAAATCAAATCTTTTCTGTTTGTTATAGTACTATAGAATAAATTATTAATTTTTCAATGAGTTTTTTCGGTGAATTGTTTCAAACGCATGTCATATATCATACATCAAATCTGTGTCATGTATTAATCTGTGTCTGTGTTATATATTACCTTGCAAACAATCACAATTCTCAGCCTCTTTTCGAATAACATCCAGTACTGCGTCTACCAGCTCAGCTCCTTCTGTATAATGGCCTTTTGCCCAATTATTACCTGTGAGAGTAATAGTTTTTTTTTTATTATAATACATGTATCTAATAATCAACATAATATACTGGGCCCGCGGTGATTCGGACCTTGTCACTGAACAAAAAGCATGTCAGGTTATATAATACTATACTCCATTCATTATAGCATTAGACATAAGTTAAATAAGGTTCTTTTTATGGTATACTTTGTGACAAAATATTAACAATCATGTTACTCTTAGCTTCTACACTTAACAGTTGTCGTTTAAGCTATCTGTTAAACAAAATTATGAGTATTTGACTAACTTAAAAGATTTAATAACTTTACAATAAAAAGTGTTCATCTTAAAGAACCTAGAGAGGCAGGGTTGGATAGTTTCGGCACGATTCTCATGTCACTATAACTCTGCCAAATTTAAAACGTTGCCTAATCCCTTCAAACATTTATTAACTAAATTCTATTCTAATTCTACATTTACAAATAGAATTTATCAAAACAAAAATCAAAAGAACAGAAAATCCTGTCCTCATCTCAACCCCGAGGTATCGTAAAAAATGGAAAATTGCTCTTTCAGACTACCTAGCGTTCAAAGTTTCAACAAAACTATTATATATATTTTTAAAATTTATCTTGAAAATAAAATGTTCTGTACCGCTGCTTCTGTGATCCTCTTTTTTCTAATGTTATAATGAATGGAGTATAGTTATCCCGCGACTTTGCATGGATTGCATGGATGATTATATAGATTTTTGAAGCATTTTTAATTAAGAATAACTTCCAGTACAGCATTATAAATACAAAATTGATCATTTATAAGTATTTTTAAAGTACATTACGCCATCTAGTTTGATTTTGAGAAATATTTTATATATTCATTTTATCAACGTTAATTCGTATCGGTAGTACTTACCAGCTCCACTCTGGCCGAACACAAAATTGTCTGGTCTAAACAATTGACCGTAAGGGCTAGCTCTCACTGCGTCCATGGTGCCCGGTTCCAAGTCCACCAAAACAGCTCTCGGGACATATTTACCTATAATTTACGCAGGGCCAACTGGTATAATAGGGATGATGGCTAATTTTTGTTTGTTTGTCCGTCAGGTAGAGTGTTAAAAAATATTAAACAAGTATTTTTTTATTTTTTTCGTAATCATAAAATTATGGCGTTACATTGAGTTGAAATTTCGCATTACGTCACGTTAGAGTACGTTTTCTACTAAACTGTGACGTAGCGAGCCCCCACTCCTCAACTTTAATGCCTGTTATCTAAGCTATTTCTTGTTAAATTGAAGTAAAAAAAATACGTATCTAATATTTTTCTATTATCTGACTGACGGACTAAATAGAATTGAATTTTTTTTACCATTCATCATCCCTATTATAAACATAGCTTGAGTGCAAAAAAGAAGCTCAGTAACTTGATATAGAATAATTAAGTAGCACCTATTTAAATCGTGTTGAACTTCTAGTGCTGTTGTGGTTTTACGAATAACATGAAATTCGTTTTCAAAAACTTAAACCAGTGTTTCCCAAACTATGAACGATTATTGAATGGGCCCTAATGTTAGATTTTTTACTGTATAAGACTTTTAATTGCAAAAGGGGATCGGACTCTAATTAAATAAAATAAAAAATTGTATGTGGTTAAAAAGTGTATAACATTTTAAAATATCCGCAGAATATTTTTTGCTAAATAACAATGACTTATATTTTTAAATCAATAAAAAATATATAGTTTTTGCATATTCAAATAGTGAAACACCAATCAGAGAGCATTTGTTAGATAGAGAGATAGAATATCTGAGATACGTCATTTTTATATATTTTTTGTAATTTTATAAAAAAAGGAATAAATAGAATACACTAACTTCGGACACATGAGTGAATTCGAAACCGGGTTCGGATTTTTACGAAATCGCTCTGCTGAACCGATTGATAATTTTTGAATTTGAATAAAGAAGTATTTTAAAAAAACGAAAACACTAAAAAAGCACTTCCACTAGATGGCGACTCTAGCAAAAATTGATATTTGATACAAATGAACCAAAGACATTAATTTCCGTTCCTTTTAACTAACATATTAAAAAACTGAAAATTGAAAAGTTCGAAACTTAGATATCAATACAAATACGAAAAAGTACAAATAGAATATAAGTACTTTATTGAGTTTTGAAACTAATTTACTTTTAAACTTGAAAGAAAACCGGAAAGGTTGTCATGGAGAAATCAAGAACGTACCGTAGCGACCTCAACTTTGATTTAGGGAACAAAATTTTTTTTTAATACTTCGTCATTATGAGCAAATACATCGAGTCACTTACCGCTTGACGCCTCATTATAATACACGTCAATACGCTCCTGCTGTAAAGGGTTTTCTCCCTTATAATATCCTTGTGGGTCTACCCCATGTTCATCCGATATCACCTCCCAGAACTAAAAACAATAAAGAGAATTATAAAAATTAAAACGCTGAAACAAAAAAAAAAAAATGATTTTAAATTAAAAAATAGTGAAATATATTAGGTAGGCGAAGTCGCGGGAAAACACCTAGTTTGATTAAACATTATACACTTTTACAAAAAAAAAATATACATACTACCTGTTTAACATAGAAAATCGTCTTTTAGGATTTTGAATGAAAGCAAAATACGAAATATTTTAATTTTTCGCTTATATGTATAAACTTGACTATTCCAAAATATGCATTTTATCAAATATGTGATATTTGATAAAAAGAGTAGCTCGGTGGCGTAGTGGATAAGCGCCGCGGCCCGGGATGGGTGACCAAAAAATTATTATCTCGAGCTATCTCCGTGCTTCGGAAGGCACGTTAACCCGTGATCCCGGCTGCATTTGCAGTCGTTAATACCCTCCAATCCGCATTGGGCCAGCGTGAAGGGTCGTGGCCCATCCTCCTTAACCATCCATTAGGAAGGCCTGAACCCCTGCAGTGGGGATGTAAAAGGGCTGATGATGATAAAAAAAAGCATATTTTGTTTTGTTATAAAGTATCGATTCGATTTCGAAAAATTTTTTTAATTTGAGCAATGTATGTGATATAAATAATTGCAGCTTATACAATATTTCATTACTTTGGTTGTAGCGCCCTCTTTAGTTATCATAAAACCCCTGAACATGTAATTAAATGAAGTAATTACATGTTCAGGGGTTGCTTGGTATGTGGCTGCAAAAATATGAAATGATTTGCCTACACCTTTAAGGAAAAAAGTCAGTGGATTGTATTTCAACCTTCAAATTGGCCCTTTTAAAACGACAACTAACTGCGGAAGACGAAGCATGCCTACTGGAACAGTCTCCCGTTGAAAGAATATTTCTAATGGTCAATGCCACACAGTCTCACACAAACATACACAACGAAACATACACTTGTATATTGTTTGAATTTGAATGAAATGTTGATAAATTTGTAGATATTCAGTATATTATCTTGGTGTCTGATTCATATTTATTTGTAATATTGTAAAAAGAATAATCGTAGGTAAATTATTTTTGCTTTGTTTGTGCTGCTGCTCCTTTAATACTATAATTCTGATCATGCTCTTGCTCAACATAAGCTGAGTCACCACCGTTTGTCTCTGTAGTTTTTTTGATATAATATTTAAAAAGAAAAACGAGATTATCGTTTAAAAGGAAATGATGGAAAAAATAAATATAATGTTACCTAATTGTAGAATCAATCATAGAACCTTTCTAATCATAATTACAAATATAATATTGCTACTTGATAATAGATGGCGCTTTTAGAACTGTACAGTTAAAAACTTTCAATTCAACCCCCATAGATGGCGCCCTTTACCGGCAACAACAAAATCATAATTTTAAAATGAATTTATCTTTAGTTTATACACAACAAAATCTTGTCTAGGTCATACATAACGTAACATAACAGTCTTTTTCTACAGTTTCAAAATTATCATTTACATTACAATATTTTAATCCAAATAGACATACAATTATTCATTTTCCTTTTTAATTCGCACGTAATGATCACGAATTTATATCTGCCATAAAAAATGTTGTCTCAGGTTAAAACAAAAAAAGGTTTCACCAACCTTGGATCCGATTTGATTACCGCACTGCCCAGCTTGAACATGTACTATTCCACGCATTTTGAAAATAGAACACAATTCACAAGCACTATTTAAAAAAATATTTTGATACCTAATTAAGTTCTTTTCAAGACCACTCACAATGCAATGAATTTGTGACTTTTACAGTCACCTTATCACTTTATCTTTTCTTACTAACGGTTGATAATGATAGGCAATACAGTACATTTCTGCTGATAAACGATAGCAATATTACGAGTCCATTAAAAAAAGGCCTGTGCACGTTCAATTTGTAATGACAGATGTAGCTTATTTAAAATGGTCAAGTTATATACTGAAACCCTAGGTGTGGCAATTAGTAACACTGGTCAGTTTTATTTAATTAAAAACTTTGGAAAAATAAAACAAACAACAACCTCTCTTTATGCCTTCTTAGTAATGACTGGTTGTCATACAATTTGCTCTGTAGAAAATTGGTTACCGGAGCATGACGCAACTTCTCATCCAGAAGCCAAATAGGTGATTGTATTATAATATGACCGAGGAGGCCGTTGGACGGAACAAGAAAGATACCTAAGTTTGATAGAGAAGTCGATAAAACTGTGTTAAATTCGAGTTTTATAATGTACCAGCTATTCTTGTAATAACGAAGTTTTAACACACCATACGTGGTCTAATTTTAGCACTTGCAGTAACAAAGATTAATACAAACTATCAACCCCAAAAACATTTAAAAAAAAAACAGTGTTTAGTGACCATCTACGTCCTATAAAGAAGCCCCATGTTAAGATTGATAAAGTGGTTCCGGAGATTTTGCGATGAGAGAATGACTTAAATCTGATAATAAGTAATTTCTAGATTATTCTAGATTATATTAGTATGAATCGAAATAATTATAAATGTAGTAATATATGGTTAAATTTATCTTTTCTGTGATATTTATAATCCACTGCCAGCTATGAAGACTATTCGACATAATCCCCGGATAAGAAACTGATAAAAATGAATACCACACGACATGATATGGAATGCAATGCAATTATAATAGTGAGATGGTAAAACGTAAAAAACTATGTTAACTTAAATTTATATTTAGATGAATAAAATTACAGTATACAGTTATTATATAATTCCTGCGATAACTTAGGTACCAAATGGAAGTAAATGAGGAAAAAAAGTATATCATATTTTTATTTTGCTACTACATACGTTGCCATTCGTCATCTATATTTTATTTACTGTTGTGATTAATTAATAACTTAGGATTTATTGTAATTTTTATTGGTGTTCCAAATTAATAATAGGGAATCATAAAAGTATTATTTTATTTAAGATAAGACTGTATGGGCTTGATCCTTTTGTCTTTAATAAATAACAACAACAGCTGTTTTACATTGTTTTAATTGGCTGGCGCCAATTCGAACATTTTTTTGCAATTAAGGCGGGAAAAGTTGTTTTCTGTTCTCCGTGATGCTAGTTTCTTTGCATTGATTTAGTTATTGTTATTAATTAATTGATTAAAAGTGAGTTAAATTGAAAGAAGAATTTGGCAACTTCTTATAATGAGTGCACGTCTGCGGCCTCGGCAGCGTATTAGCTATTGTGAATATGAAGAACCAAATTTGGATGAATATGTCTGTAAGTGAGCTAAACATAACATAACCATCGGTCTAACAATGTCCCATTAACACCCCAGAAATTCTAAATGAATTTAATCAAACGGGCCCACTAAGCCGACTTAGTGCATATTGGTAGGTGATAACGAATACGGAGCTCAAGATAAAGTTTTGGTCACCCATCCTATAACTAGGCTTGTGAAATTTACTTAGCTTCCATATCGCAGCCCAAAACGCTGATGATCGATCGAGCCTTAACTAGCTACTTTAACATTCTGTTTTGTTTATAATCAAACTTTGAGTAGTTGGCGCGATGCGTGCAAGTGCCTATTACCTATTTTATTTTTATACATTCCACAATGGACAAAAAGCTGTGTCCGATGGACCCACAGCAATTAGTTGCATTATGGAGTAATTAAAATAAGCCTTCCTTAAACCCTCTAAATGTGAAGTAGCGATACATTTCAAGCGCCGTGCGCGTTATAAGGCACAGGTTGTTATGTCGATATTTATTTATTTATTTAACACTTTTGTACCAACGTACAAGGCGGACCTAATACCTAAGGTATTTTCTTACAGTCAGCTTTAGGGTGATAAAGCAGCCTTAGCTAAATAAGAGGTAAGGTTCACAGTCACAAACTATATGAAAACGCATATATATGTATATTAATAATCATTAATCGTATATATTAAAGAAATCTGCTTGCTTCAAAAGGACCTGCGTAACTTCGCTTTTTTTTTCTGACACGTCGATGTTTATTTTACTGTATATGTATATATTTATTTATGTATATATGTATTTGTGTGTTTGTATGTAGGGTATTGTCTTAATATATATATGTATGTATATGTGTATGATTGTTAATTATATTCAGAATTCTCTATCACTGTCACTGCCTTACAAATTTTCTGCTTATCCTCTCCGGTTGGTAGAGAATGCCTATGGCATTAAGTCCGCCGTTTGCATTAATATGGCAATAAAGATTAAATAAATAAATAAAATTACCGATTGCTAGACCGTCTTATGTCTAAAGGAAAAGTGTTCAATAACAAAATAAACTTAATAAAGTAGGAGGAATCAATGACATTAAAGTGGTGAGTAGGACATGGCCCAAGTAGCACATAAATAATATATTAACTAAAATAAGTACCGATTTATGTCCTAAAGACATACTAACATTTTTAATCAGCTCTGGTCAAGTTTCGAATCTGTTTAAAGGCAAATGCCTTTAATTTAATTTTATCTCATAATGCTTAATGCCATATTATGGTTAATAAAAAAAGTATACCAATGTCAAAACTCATATTTAAGTATTGGGTAATATTAATATAAAGCTGTTATCGTATTTCGGTGATATGAAAAACATTATATATTATATAAGCATTGACGTAATATTATTTAGTGCACTTAGTTGTATTTAGTCATTTTCTAGAAACAAAGGTTTTCTAATGGCCTATGGTTGTATCGATTTAATGCTTATCCTATATACACATTGAATAAAGAACAAGTAAAACTTTAGCACCGATTTGTTCTTAAAGTATTCTTTAATCAAGCTCAAGCTCCTTTATCTTCTTAATCTATACTTTTATCAAACATTAGGCTATATTTTGATCAATATTAAGTTATTTATAGAGATACAAGTCATAAATAGATCGTAATTATTTTTTATGTAAAATTAAAATGTAAAATTATTTTATGTATTGTATTGTAATGGTGGCATTTTATACGCATCGCTGGCGCCATGGACAAAAAACGTTGGGAAAAACAAAGAAAACAGGTGGATATATAAGAAAATTGAAAAAAGAGTATTCTAATTTAATTGAAGCTTTTAAAAATCAAAATAAAAATGAAATAATCGTTTGATGATTATAAGCACTATAAGATACTTCTGAAGTGTTAAAATACGGCTGTACCTAAAATGGGAGTGTGTTATACGGTGAATTACGAGCTCTTAGTTTTGTGTCTAACCATAATACGATTAACAGCTCTACTACACTATATTTGAATACCTAATGCTTTAATTTTACGAGTCGCCATTTGCTTTCTTTTTCCATTTCTTACAATAATATTTAAAGTCAACTGTGTCAGATGAAAAGGGGTAAATAATCATTTATTTTGTACACAGATGCCTATAAAAGCAATTATGTTGTTAAAACAATGCTAAAAGCCTAAAATTCAACAAAAATTTTTGCTACTAGGTTAAATTTTCTATTATTTTTATTATATTAAAGGAAGTTTGCGAAGGCGCGTGTATTTTACACCATAAACTTGTATATTTTACTCCACAAACTGATGTTTGCAGCTTATTTCACTCATAACGAGCTGTATAAATGTTAGTACTCTCCTGTTCAATATTAAAAAATACTTAAAAGACCAGCCAAGAGAACATGTCATGATGACACACAAAACAATAACTTAAACCGATTATATATTTTTAAAATCTATTTAATATACTTTTTTACAAAGGAAATAAAACAGTAAGAATTTTAATAACATTAAATTAACGTATTATAATTTTGATTTCCGCATATCAATTGCAATATAGTCACAATAAGTTCAATTGGCACTTTAAGGTGCTAATTGAACTTTTTGTGGCTATTAGAATGCTTTTACCCGACTTTATTAATGCTATTATACAAAAGTTGTAGTGCTATTGCACAGCTTTTATAAAGCTTAAAGTCGTACAAAGGGGGGACCCAAATTTTACGTATAAGAGTCGTTTAAAAGAAATACGGTTGATATACGATTTTATTATAATGCTTAACGCTTGGACTCGTGCTATTATATGTTTGATATAATGGTATTTTGTGCTACTTGGGGGGCAAACTGTAATAAGCAAAACGCAGATTTTTAGAGTGACTCGAGAACAATATTACGGCTTGGTCGTCATTGAATTCAAATTCGCGATCGTTCATTCAGTCTGGGCTGTTACAAGCACTTTTTAAAGTCGAAAGCTGCGCCATCGGTTAGCAAATCTATGGCGGGTGACCTTGTACTGAGAAGAACCGGCAAGAAAAGTCAGCCCCTGCTGAGTAGCAAGGGCTGCTTTTTTCTCTTATAATCTAATACCTTTAAACGAGTAATTATATGTAAGATGTAATATTATTAAGTGCCAGGATTTCGTGGCATGGATGAGTTACATATACTGAACAACTTTTACTATGGGAGCAACATCATTAGCTCTATTTTTGAATCATACGTCTCGCGTCGAGCGCTCGATTTCTACTGACTTTTGTTCGACATCAGAAATTCGCTATTTCTGATTCGCTCGACTGCAACGTCGTATGAAACACTCGTCGCTCAGCGAACGTATTTAAAAAATAGTGTTCTATGACCAAAAAAAGCACGAGCTAAGCTCGGTCATCCAAATACTTCTTATTATGGCTCATTTGTTTATTTTGTATTTTTTTATTTATTTACTCTTAATTGCAAAACCCCACAAAGGACTCAGTGCAGGAGACTTCTACCAGTCAACCTTAGTAAATTCATTGTTTCAGTTTGCGAAAAATGTGCTGACTACGTGTATGAATATTGCTCCATACATGGCCCGCTGCTTGTTGTTCCCGATAACAAGGTATGTAAATCATGCTTTGTATTTTATTTTTTATGTAAATCATACACGTTTCATCATCAGTCTTTTTACATCCCTACTGCATAGGCTCAGGTCTTATAGATGGCTAAGGAGGACGGGCCATAACCCTCCACGCTGGCCCAATGCGGATTGGTGGCTATTAACTACAAATGCAGCCGAGCCCAACTGCTTAACATCCCTTCCAAATAAAAGTAATAATATTTATTTATTTGCGAAAATATGTTTACAAGGTAGTTTTACAATTTTAGACCAGCATATTTTAGCGTCAAGACGATGTGCAAACATTAAAGTCAATATACAATAATTTGTCTGATTTTATATGAAAGAAAATGTCAAAAAATTAAATTAAATAAAAAATTGTAAATCTCAAATCATAGTCATAAATACAATACGTTCATATTATAATCAAAGCATTCATATAATAATTAAGAATGAGATTTATTTTGCAAGAATTCATTAATTGAATAATATTTTTTATCCATTAAATATTTAAATAAACAGGATTTGAATGTAATAATAACACTATCAATAGTTTTAATATTATTCAGTAATCTTCTATAATATAAAAATGAATCGCAAAATGTGTTGGTAAGCGCATAACTCAACAACGCCTCGACCAATTTGGCCAAATCTTTTTTTAAAATGTTCGTTGAAGTTCAAGGATGGTTTTTACGGCGAGAAAAATTAGAATTATTGCTGGAAAAACCCTAAAAATAGCCCTTTTCTTTTTCCCATACAAATGATTTGTAACTAAAACGTAGTCAATTTGAGCTTTATTGCTATGGTATAAAGTTCATATTAAATTACAAGCACTCACTGTTGTCTAAGCAATGTAGGTGTGTTCCTAACGTCAAAGATCATATCTATCAAAACAATGTGCGTGTGTGCGTTGGAGCACAGAATACATAGTTGGAGGAGTTTAATGTCGCGTTCCGAAACTCGCGTTTCTTTTGTATTAGTTTCGGCACGCGAGATAAAATGCATCAGAATTTTTTTAAATACGTAGGCAAAAAAACTGCCACATTACAAATCTTTTTGACAGGACGAAGTCTGTCGGGTCAGCTAGTTTATTATAAATGCGTATACTCTATATGAGTTTTTCGAATTCACAACGAGTCTTTTAGTTGGAATACATTTTGTACCCTTCTTACCTCTATGTGCAAAACCTTTATTTTGTTTAAATAAATGTTCGGTCTTCGTCCGTTTTGGTAGATCTATGGTAATTATTGATAATTCTATCTATCTATGATAATTGTCATTATTTTTTAATCAATGGCAATCATTTTCAAAGGAATAGCGGTTCACGGAAATTTGTAAAGTTTAAAGTCGTACCGGAAGACGC